GTGGCTGGCTGGAAAAATGTTTTAAAATGCATTTTGAGGCTGGGATGCTTGATTACAATAGTTCTTATTTTACAGGGTTAGGGGACAAAGCACTTGAATGTTGGCCATTATTACTATTTTTTTTTGTTTGCCAATATTTGAAATATCCCTTTTCAGTACTAACTTAATTCTTCCTTAACATCGATTAAAGCAATATATGCTCCTCTACTGTGACGGACTCTACTGTTTGAGGATTGAGCCAGTATCTGTTTATTTCCTTCTTCAGATCCATGTCCCTGGAGCGCTCCCTGGGATATGGAGGTTTTCAGGATTAATAACTCCATGAGATACCCAGCTCGGATCAGCCTCAGTATCCTTTTCACATCTTGCTTTTCTCCCCTCCTCTTCTCCACTCTGTTGCCTCTGGATTTTCCAGGGTGGAGTCGAGAGAACAAGGGAAGACATAAGGGACAGACGAGGTCTCACATGACAGCAATGGTTTCAGGCTTACGCTCCTGAGACCAGCGTGTGTCCCAAAGCTTCTCACTCTCCAAGGGCTACTCTAGGTTCCCTAATGATTCTCCCACTGACGTTCCCCGACATGAACTACAGTGTTTTTCCTTTAGATTCCTCTTCATCTTCTCAATTTACAATATGCCTCCAGCCTTTCTGTGAAGACATCTGACCCATAAAAATCCTTTCTCTTGCCCCATCTTGATGTCAGAGCAGCCTGCTCCATGTTAGCCCCTGTCCTGTCTCCCACTTAGATGTGCAGACTCCTCCAGCCTCTACTTTTAACTTCTTGGGACATGAGGCAGATGTCAGCCCCTTGCTCCCAAACTCCAGAGTCTAATAAGTTCATCAAGTGACAGTCTGGAGACCCCTTATTTGGCATGTGAAGCCCCTCCTGTAGTAACCCCTCATGTGCCTTCCCTTCCAGAGAAAGTCCAGAGTACTGGACAACTGTTGCCAAAGGAGTTGTCACTTCTCAGTGGGTACCAAGAGCAGGGCAGCGGGAGGTTCTACCCATGCTGTAGGACATAACTGAGAATTGCTTTGTCTATAAAGACCTTTAAAACACTAATAAAATCAATGAAAAGGTGGTCTTTTAAAAATTGTTATTACTAGGTGTTGGCAATTCTAAACAATGACAGCAACAAAATTCTCCTCCCCCCCAAAAAAACTCATGGGTGGCTCTAAGTCTTAAATTACTACGACAGTAAATATTGAGCTTTAACGATACACATTTTGGCTTCAAATTGGCATATTTCAATTCAGAGAACTTGTTGTACAATCATCCGCTGATACACACAGACTCAGCTACACTCATTCATTTTGTGAATAAGTTCCTATAGGTTTGGAAAAGTTTGGGCTTGTTTTGGGTGAAGTTCTCATCTCCAGCTCCTGTGATGTAATATATTCTTGCATTTGAACAGTGGGTTCAAAATAAATGATGATAGTACCGTAATTGCAAAGACAAAGAGATGGAACTTGAGTTACTTCAGTTTTGTTATTCTGAGTGATTTTGGGGGAATTTTAATTTGTGTTTAAAAGTTAAGGCAATGGTGGGGCACAGTAGCTCATGCCTGTAATCCTAGCACTTTGGGAGGTTGAGGCAGGCGGATCACGAGGTCAGGAGCTTGAGACCAGCCTGACCAACGTGGTAAAACCCCGTCTCTACTAAAGATACAAAAATTAGCCAGGTGTGGTGGTGCACACCTGTAATCCCAGCTACTCAGGAGGCTGAGGCAGAAGAATCTGGAACCTGGGAGGAGGGGGTTGTAGTGAGCCGAGATTGCACCACTGTACTCCAGCCTGAGCAACAAGAGCATGACTCTGTCTCAAAAAAAAAAAAAAAAGATGGTAAATTTTATGGGTTTTAAAAAATTTATTTATTTATTTATTTATTTATTTTGACACAGAGTCTTGCTCTGTTGCCCAGGCTAGAGTGTAACAGCGAGATCTCGGCTCACTGCAGCTTCTGCTTCCAGGGTTCAAGTGATTTTTCCTGCCTCACCCTCCCAAGTAGCTGGGACTACAGGTGCCTGCCACCATGCCCCACTAATTTTTGTATCTTTAGTAGAGACAGGATTTCACCATGTTGGCCAGGTCTTGAACTCCTGACCTCAGGTGATTCACCTGCCTTGGCCTCCCAGAGTGTTGGGGTTACAGGAGTGAGCCACTGCGCCTGACCATGTTATGTATTTTTTAACCACAATTTTAAAAACATATAAAGCAGCTTGAACAAAAGGGTGATCCAAACATTATTTTTGTTTGGCAAGTGCAAATTTTAGTTCATACATGTAATATGTTACCAAATTAGAATAATGCCATTAAGATTGAATTTATTCTTTGTGTTGGTTTGAGTCCTCCAAACCAAGATAAAATTAGACATGAAGAGATCTATTTCTTGGGAAAAGCGTCTGTGATGGACAAAGGAGAGGAAGCTGCAGTAGACAAGGACAGCCTCCCACTGTGATGACATCTGGGAGAGGAGGGAGGGAGCCCCAGGGAGCAAGCATCCCAGATCAAAGCACAGTGCTAACAAAGTTCCAGCCAGCCTGATGGGGAGTCTTTGAGTCCATGATGCCAATTAGGCCAGGTACAGGGGCTCATGCCTGTGATCCCAACACTTTGAGAGGCTGAGGCAGGAGGATCGCTCAAGGGTAGAATTCCAGACTAACTAACATGGGCAACATAGTGAGACCCCCCGCCTTCTGAAAGAAAGAGAGAGAGAGAGAGAGAGAGAAATTAGCCAGGCATGGTGGCATGCCTCTGTAGTCCCAGCTACTCTGTAAGCTGAGGTGGGAGGATCAATTGAGCCCACGACTTCAAGGTTGCAGCGAGCTATAATTGCGCCACTGCACTGCACTCCTGCCTGGGCAGCAGAGTGGGGCCCTGTCTAAAAATAATAATAATAAACTTCTCCTGCCAAAAACAAAAAAAAACCCAAAAATCCAAAATTGCCAATTAGATGAGTCCCCTGGGACCATTTTCTCTCTCCACACAAAATAGATGACCAGCTGCACCCTCACTTACAACTCTGCCAATTGGGAAGCTTTTTCCTCTCCACTGTCTTTCACCACCTTTCATGAAGTGGTTGTAATGAAGCCACTGTCCATTTTTGGCTTCCAAGCCAGCCCATCTGTGAACTGAGCTTGAGCCTTTTCCTTCTCTTCCAGGTGGTCATGAACTCCCCAACCCCCTGCAAATACAGTCATATATTAGAGCTGGGGGAGGGATCCTAGTGCAAATATGATGGGTGCCATGTTGGCCTGGGCTACCTGCTCATGCAGCTTACTCATGCTCCCTGATCCTGCTGGGACCCAATCCTGGATTAACCATTTCCATTTGCAGTGTTCTGAGGCTGGGCCTCTCCTACTTAATGACTCAGTGGGTCCAGTGGAACCCAGCTGGTAGTGGGCAGGACTGACGCATGATCAGCTAGTACCCTATGTATCCAGTGTTCTGTCTCTACCAGGGTATAGTAACAGGCCAGGAGTTATTTGTCAAAAGACTTACGATTCTCTGCTGTGTATTGCATGGTCTTGTTTCAGAGTCCTGGCTCCTTTGTTGTGATTCTCCTGCTGGGTCTTGCTTTAAGATTCCTGCTGCATCTTTTTTTCACCACTGATACCCCCAATGCCATAGAGTCTATTATATCACACAGTCCAGTTGGCAGGGCTGTTTGCATTGTAGCCTTGACTTGCTGCAGAGCCCTTTCTTGCTCTGGGTTCACTTGGAGCTGGCAACTGTTTATGTCACTGGGGATAGCATCCGTTTGCATCACCTTGTATATGGACATATTAAGTGTTCCTAAATGTGGTCTGTGTTGCCCCTAGAACCTAAAAAGGCCTACTGCCAGAGATAAGGTGGTAGGGCTCAGGCTCTCCACTGTTATCTTCAGTAATTCTACTCTGGCCCCAACCTTGTGCACCCTAAGCAGCAAAACAAAAGCCCTCCCTCAGATCTAGTGAGTGCCTGTCAATGCTAAAGCATACCCCTTGCAGTAGAAGGGGGGCTGACCCACACCCCAAGCAGTTTATCACAGCTTTCTTTCTAAGCTTCACATCCAGAACTCACCCTCCCTAAGAGAAGTCTCCCTGTCCTGTCCTGTGTCCTCTTTTATCCCGATGGGGAGCAGACAGAGAGCTCCCGTGTTGCCTCCTTGATCCTTGCCATGTCACACATCAGCATAGAAGTTAACAGCATGGACTTTGGGTTCCACCAGAGCTTGATTCCATTCTTGAGTGGAATGGAACCTAAGCTACTCCATTCCTTGGTTTTCTGATCTGTAAGATGACAGCAATAATACCAATTGTGCCAGACTGTTTTGAGGATTTCAGAAGATGACTACCAAGCACAGTGTGATGCATGATGTTGCTGTAGGTACCGCAGGTTGCAGCGGCTCGCTTAGAGGCTGCTTCCCTCATTTAATTGGAAGCTCCTTGAGGATCAGAGTGGTCTTTTCTAGACATTCCCTCTAGGATACTAAGGACACAGTAGATATTCAGTGACTGTTTAGGGATGTCTCCTGAATGTATACCCATTTTTAACCAGCCACGTTTTTTTTCCTTCCAGAAATGCCAAATGTTAACATCTGAGAGAAGCTGCTGTTCTCTCAGAGATTGTAGGAAGCACCAGGTGGTGAACAGAGCTGGGGCTTTCGAGCAAGATAGGGGAAGAAGGACACTCTGATAACTTTCTGGGCCCTAGTTAGTTTCCTCATTTGGAGAATGTAGAGAGTGATGGATACCATTACAAGGTTGTGGCGAAGGTTTTCTTAAACTGGAGTTAACACGCCGCCAAGGACACAGTAAGCACTGAGAAACAGCAGCTGCTATTATTACTATCAATTTAAGAGTTATTGTTAAAGAAGTGAAAGTGAGCGCGCTCAGGTGTGCGCTCGAGGCCAGCAACCTGGCTGGGTCCGTGGGGAAACCTGCGGGGCAGCACAGGGCAGGTTCGTCGGAAGCCCCACCTCTTTCCTCGCGTCCGGTCGCCCGGGCAACGCACCGCCGCGTCGCAGCCAGAGTGACGTGTAGGCGCTGGCAGCCAGAGTTCCCGGGCACAGTCGGCTTTGGCGGGGACCGCTACGGCAGTGATGACTGATGATGACTCCGAGAGCGTCCTCTCCGAGTCCCATGAAGGGTCGGAGCAGGAGCTGCCTGTTATCCAGCTGTGTGGGCTGGTGGAGGAGCTCAGGTACCGCGGGCGTGCCTGGGGGCCGCCCCTTCTCCTGCGCCCTCCTCCCCGGGCGGCCTCGTACCTGGGGACCAGCATGGAGAGTATACAAGCCCTCACTGGGGAGACTTTTCCTCTTTACCTCTGCGTCTCCGCTACCTGAGCCAACAAGCCATTGATGGAGCTAGAATGGGGTGGTGTGAAGAGGGGGTGCGGCCGGTGGTAGGAAGCCCAGAGGGTAATTAGGGAAGTGAGAGTTTCAACCGGATTAGTCTCTGTTGTGCCAGACGGTGTGCTTAGCAGATCCACAATTCTGCAGCGACAGGTTTTTCTGATGTTAAGATTCTATGATAAGGCCGGGCGCTGGGGATCCCGCCTGTAATCCCTGCACTTTAAGAGGCGGAGGCTCGCGGATCACTGGAGGTCAGGAGTTCGAGACCAGCCTAGCCAAAATGGTGAAACCCCGTCTCTACTAAAAATATAAAAATTAGCCAGGCATGGTGGCGGTCGCCTGTAATCCCAGCTAGTCAAGAGGCTGAGGCAGGAAAATCACTTGAACTCGGGATCCGGAGGTTGCAGTGAGCCGAGATCGCACCACTGCACTCCAGCCTGGGCGACAGAAAGAGACTACTGTCTCAAAAAAAAAAAAAAAAAAAAAAAAAAAAAAATTCTGTGGTAAAACTAATACGGCAGCAGAATAGAAAGCACGCTATTGAGATGGTTTTAATATGCGGCAACATGTGCTGAACCTAGGTAAACAGACAGTAAAGAATGAGTGGCCCAATATTCTACATTTATTTTATTTTGACAGTTTGCTTTATATCTACTACTATAGCAAGTAAATTGGCTATTAAGATTCCATGATGTAGTTAAGATTAGTTGTACAGCATACTGGTCTTGCACAGAATATCCTAGCTTTAGCAGCTGAAGTACATCTACGAGTACCTTAGTTCAGAACTGAGGTATATTACTAATAGCTATCGTTTGTTAGTGCTTCTGTGTACCATGCCTTTACATATATGACCTTATATAATGACACTGCAACCCTAGGAGGTGGGTAAGGAAACAAAGACACAGAGGTTAAGTCCCTGCACTAAGTTTACACAGCAAGTCAGTGGTAGTGCTGGGCATCAAACTCAGGTGCATCTCCGCAGACTACATACACCTCGAAAAAGCAAGATACTTTGATGTATTGTGCTTTACATTCAACCAGTTTTTTTGTTTTTTTTTTTTTTTAGACAGAGTCTCACTCTGTTGCCCAGGCTGGAGTGCAGTGGTGTGTTATCAGCTCACTGCAACCTCCACCTCCCAGGTTCAAGCGATTCTCCTACCTCAGCCTCCTGAGTAGCTGGGATTACAGACACCCACCACCACACCCAGCTAATTTTTGTATTTTTAGTAAAGACAGGGTTTCACCATGTTGATCAGGCTGGTCTCAAACTCCTGACTTCAGGTGATCCCCCTGCCTTGGCCTCCCAAAGTGCTGGGATTACGGGCATGAGCCATCGCTCCTGGCTTCACTAGTCTTAAAATTCAGCCAAACAGGAATATTAAAAGTAATAACAAAAACTGCAGTTACTTTCTGACCAACCTAATAGATCAATAACACATGAAAACATCAAAGTTGTTCTTTCTCTCTTGTATACATACATATACATACTTGTATGTAACACACACATACATATGAGAAGTTAAAAAGTTGGCTGGGTGTGGTGGCTCATGCCTGTAATCCAAGCACTTTGGAGGCCAAGGCGGGCGGTTCACCTGAGGTGGGGAGTTCAAGACCAGTCTGACCAACATGGTGAAACCCCGTCTTTAAAAAAAAAATTAAAAATTTTTTAAAAATACAAAAAGTTAAAAAGGTTATAACCTTGGCATATACAGGATAAACTAGGTATGTTATCTGTTGCTCAGTTCAAAGTTTTCCACAGTTTATGATAAACTTCCAGTTAATTATTTTTATCTATTGGGTGCTGGAAATTAAAAAAACTGAAAGACACAAACCAAAGGAAACATCTGAAGATTGTGAGTGTGTATAACTTCAAGAATATAGTCATTCAGGTTGGGCACAGTGGCTATTGCCTGTACTCTCAGCACTTTGGGAGACCAAGGTGGAAGGATCACTTTAGGCCAGGAGTTCGAGACTAGCCTTGACAACATAGCAAGATACCACCTCTACAAAAAAAATTTTAAATTAGCCAGGCATGACGTTGTGCACCTGTTGTCGTAGCTACTCAGAAGGCTGAGGCAGGAGGATTGCTTGATCTAGGAGTTCAAGGTTACAGTGAGTCCAATAGAGTGAAAACCTGTCTCTCTCTATATATCTATATCTATATCTATATACATATATGTGTGTGTATGTATATATATATTTTCATACTATATATATATTCATACATATATATATTCATACTACATATATGTATATATATGTATAGTAATTCAGAAAGAATTTCCCAAATGGGTTCAATGATCTTTCTTTCTTTCTTTCTTTCTTTCTTTTCTTTTCTTTTCTTTTCTTTTCTTTTCTTTTCTTTTTTTTTTTTTGAGACGGAGTTTCGCTCTTGTTACCCAGGCTGGAGTGCAATGGCATGATCTCGGCTCACTGCAACCTCCACCTCCTGGGTTCAGGCAATTCTCCTGCCTCAGCCTCCCGTGTAGCTGGGATTACAGGCATACGCCACCATGCCCAGCTAATTTTTTTTGTATCTTTAGCAGAGACGGGGTTTCACCATGTTGACCAGGATGGTCTTGGTATCTTGACCTCATGATCCACCCGCCTCGGCCTCCCAAAGTGCTGGGATTACAGGCTTGAGCCACCGTGCCCGGCCGGGTTCAATGATATTTGACAATTTTCAATGTAATACTAGTGTTCTGCATTTTGTAGCTCATTAAACAGATTAGTAAAAATATCAAATATATAGCACTTACTGTGTGTCAGGCCCTGTCCTAAAGGCTTTGTCTTCCTTATTGGATGTACCCTAAAATTTAGGTGCTATTCATATACCCATTTTATAGGTGAGGAAACTAAGGCACCAAGAGGCTAAGGGGTCTTGCAGGTCCTCTAGTTATTAAACACTAGTTACTTGGGGTTTAAACTCTTATTACTGGAACTTACTCAGGTACCCTGTCTTGCAGCTATTTAAACTCTGCTCTCAAAACTGAGACAGAGATGTTTGAGAAATATTACATTAAGCTGGAGCCCAGGGATCACCAACTTCCACAATCATCAGAAATTAAAATGTCAGCAGCAGATTATGCACAGGTACGCAATGGAGATCTAGAACGTTCTTTTATTTGTCCCCTTAAATGCAAGTGGTATTTGTATATCTGCCTTTGGTGTGCCCTCTGTGGCCAGTTGACCATGGGACCTTCTTCTCCCTGTTTTACTTTTGATTCTTCTTTGCCGCTCTAGGTTTCTCTTTCAAGTGAGTGTGAAGGGAATCGGGTTCAGTTAATAGTGGATTGACTCTCCCAGCATATCTTGGTTTACTTGAAAGAATTCCCTTTGGCTAGGTGCAGTGGTTCAGGCCTGTAATCCCAGCGCTTTGGAAGGCTGTGGTGGGAGGATCATGTGAGGCCAGGAGTTTGAAACCTGCCTGGACAATATCGCAAGACCCCATCTGTACAAAAGGAAATTCTTACATTAGCCAGCTGTGGTGACATGCATCTGTAGTTTTAGCTACTTGGGAGGCTGAGATGGGAGGATTGCTGGAGCCCAGGAGTTTGAGGCTGCAGTGAGCTATGATCACATCACTGCACTGCAGCCTGGGCAGCAGAGCAAGACCTTGTTTCAAGATCTTGTTTCAAACAAACAAGAATTCACTTAAATTGAGGGACTCAACTGTTTACAAGAGCCAGCCAACCACCAAAAGAAGGGAAGCAGTCCCGGCATGGGCCCTTGTCTCAAAGGGCTTTCTGTGTAGGCTTATCCTTTGACGGCCAAGCAAACCTGTATGTACCCTGGACCACCCACTTCCAACCTTTGCCTTAAATGCATAGAAAATCCAAGATGTTTATTTGTCTGTTTTGCTGAACACAACCCCCGCCCCCTGACCCAGATGCAGTTTCTTTTCTGTGTTCAGCTCAGCAAGCACCTCTGAGCTTCCCCTAACTTTGACTTGAATGCTAGGCTATAATGGATTCACAGCCTTCCCACCCTCAAGATGTTTACCCTTATTTATTTTCAGTTCATTGTCAAACCTAGGCCTTTGAAGTATTTAGTGCAAGGGCTTAGGATGGCTTGAGAAATAAACATCACCTTGGGTCTTTGTTCTCCCTGGCTGTCACTCTGGGGAACTTCCAGCAGGTCAGAGGATCATGCTGACGCCCACCTTGGGCTGTTTCATTACTAATTCCTCTTTGACAGTGACTGTTTCTCTTGGGTTGCAGTTTCGAGGCAGGCGTAGAACCAAATCCCGGACAGGTGTGGATCATGGGGTGGGCCTGACTGTCGACCAAAAACTCGAGCTAGTACAAAAGGAGCTGGAAGACACAAAGGATGACCTACAGCACATGCGGGCAAATGCAGAACGCGACCTGCAGCATCATGAGGTACACCTTCCTCCGGGTGCAGCCCGAGATGCCCAGGCTCCCCACCTCCGCCCTGGTGAGACGTACCTAGAGTGCGTGTATGTGATTGTTGGGGCTTTGGAAGAAACACTAGTAGAATGAGGAGAATCCAGAGCCTACCTTTGAGGAACTTACCACCTGCTTGAGGGGACAACACATTTTTAAACTTTTTTAATGGGAAATTTAAAAAATACACAAATGTAGAGAGGCTAGCACAACAAACCCCTATGTACTCAACACCCGGGTGCAGTGATCATCAACATAGGGCCTCTCTTGGTTGATCAACTTTCCCTTCATCTGGCTGGGTTACTAGGAAGTGAATTCTAGACATCCTATTTCTCTGTACATATTTCAGTATATATCTTTAATATATGAATTCTTTTAGAAGACATAATCATGATAACCCTAAATGCTCTTAAAATTTTACAAAAATGTCTTAATAATACAGGCGGTTTGAGGTTTAAGTCAGCGTATTAGGGTTCTCGAGAGGGACAGAACCAATAGCATACATGTCTGTATGAAAGGGAGTTGGTTAGGGAGAAGTGGCTCACATGATTGCAAGACAAAGTCTCAGCTGTCTGCAGGCTGGGAAAAGAGAGAAGCTGGTAGTGGCTCAGTCCAAGTCTGAATGCTTCAAAACCAGGGAAGCCACAGTACAGCCTTCAGTCTGCAGCTGAACTTCCTAGAGACCCAGAGAAGCTGCTGGTACAAGTCCCAGGGTCTCAAGGCAAAGAACCTGGAGTCTGATGTCTGAGGGCAGCAGGAACATAAGCTATTGTCAAGCGTGGGAAGAAGAGGGAGAGCCAGAAGACTCAGCACACAAGCTTATCCACCTTCTTCTGCCTGTTTTGCTCTATCTGCTCTGGCAGCCAATTCGATAGTGTCCACCCACACTGAGGGTGGATCTTCTCCCAGTCCACCGACTCGAATATCAATCTCTTCTGGCAACACCCTCACAGATACAGCTGGAAACAATACTTTGCCACCTATCTAGGCATCCCTGAATCCAGTCAAATTGACACCTGATATTAACCATCACAGTCAGTGAATGGAGTGAAAAGTCCCTAGGTCAGCATTTCTATACAGCACACGTGCCCATGGTTCATGTCCTGTTACAGACCAATATAGTGCCTCTTAGTCCAATACGGTTTCCTTCAGAGAAGAAACATCACTGTTAATTCGATTGCCCATAGGATGACGTTGTTGGCTTGCATTTGAGAGCCATGTTGCGTGAAAAATAGATACTTCGGTTCTATTTTTAAAGTTTTTCTATTTTTCTGTTTCTAAATGTGGACATTCACAGAATCACACTCGTCTCAAGAGGGACCAGTCTGTAGACTCATGTCTCCCACTGATAAAACCATCTGTATCACATCAACTGATCCCGCTCTCTCATCCCTCTCTCTTTCCAAACATGCATGGTTGAATTCTAGCAAGTTAAAGGAGCTTGGGATGTGGCAGCATTATCCTGACCTGCTACGTTGTGCAGTGTAAGCATCAAGTGCAGAGAGAGAGATCAGTGTGGGCTAGAGTGGTCAAAATGAATTTGTTGAGGAGGTAGGTCTTAACAGGGACTTGGCATGATCTTGAAGAACGATGGCATCTGTTTAAGGCACAGGGAAAGAAGGGCACCCCAAGTAAGAAGAATGACAGGAGCAACGCAGCAGAGGTGGGCACCAGCATGGCGAGCTCATGACGTTGAGGAAGACGGTGCAATTAGAGAAGAGGATGCTTTGGAGGCTGCGTTAGGAATTCAGGTTGAGTAAGGCAGCAATTTCTTGACAGCCATGCCAAGGAGTTTATCTTCAATGTCTTAGAAAGCTGGATACTTGAGTAGGAGAGCAACATGTTGAAAGCAGCATTTCAGGTGGATTAATGTTCTACATGGAGATGTAGAACATGGAGATGATGGGGCTGGGAAGAGGCTGGTGCCTGAGGCTGGCCAGTGAAAATGGTTTTGCTCCTTGGTGCCCAGAAAAAAAGCCTGATTTAAGATGATTTGCAGTCTGGCTACAGGTATCATTCCATTTTACTATTTAAAGTAACTATGTGGCTGGGCATGGTGGCTCATGCCCATAGTCCCAGCACTTTGGGAGGCCAAGGCAGGCGGATCACGAGGTCAACAGATCGAGACCATCCATGCCAACATGGTGAAAAAAAAAGTTATAATTGTGTGTGTGTATGTGTGTGTTCTTATTTCAAGTCAATCTATGTTGTAGAATATTGAAAAATACAGTTAAGCTAAAAGAACATTTGAAAAAATTCACAATTTACCACTCAGAGGTAATTTCTGTTGACTTTCCATTTACCTCCTATAGATAATTTTCTATGCATATATGAATTTCTTTTAAAAAATAGTAGCACATGATTTTGTAAACTGTATTTTTCATTTAACATCTGTTTATGTCAATACAGATGTTTATTTTGTAAAATCTTTTTTTTAGTTTTCAGAGATGGGGCCTCGATGTATTGCTCAGGCTGGAGTGCAGTGGCCATTCATGGTCGTGATCATAGCACGTGACGGCCTTGAACTTCTGGCCTCAAGTAATCCTCCTGCCTATGCTGGGACTACAGGCACCATATCTGGCTTTATAGTATCTTCTTTATTTTTTTTCGATTCCCACCCCCACCCCCAAATACTCAGGCTTGGAAATATAACGTCTTTTTAAAAAAGTAACAGGAGTTTGGGAGGCCGAGGCAGGTGGATCACGAGGTCAAGAGATCGAGACTGGTCAACATGGTGAAATCTTGTCTCTACTAAAAATACAAAATATTAGCTGGGCATGGTGGCACGTGCCTGTAATCCCAGCTACTCGGGAGGCTGAGGCAGGAGAATTGCTTGAACCCAGGAGGCAGAGGTTGCGGTGAGCCGAGATCGCGCCATTGCACTCCAGCCTGGGTAACAAGAGAGAAACTCCATCTCAAAAACAAAAGTAACAGAAGTATCTAGTAAGAGTGCCTCTTTATTTCCCCACTAATCCATCTCTCTGGATGTAACTATGGTTCCTGTTTTGATGTATATCCTTTCAGATATTTTAATGGATAAATAATTTCAAATATGGAAATGCATATTTAGATAGATAACTTGGCCAGGCATGATGGCTCATGCCTGTAATCCCAGCACTTTGGGAGGCTTAGGTGAGTGTATCACCTGAGATCAAGAGTTCAAGAGCAGCCTGGTCAACATGGTGAAATCCCTTCTCTACTAAAAATACAAAAACTGGCCTGGCGTGGTGGCAGGTACCTGTAGTCACAGCTGCTCGGGAGGCTGAGGCAGGAGAATTGCCTGAACCCAGGAGGTGGAGGTTACAGTGAGCTGAATTTGTGTTATTGCACTCCAACCTGGGCAACAGAGCAATGGATTGAGACTGTCTCAAAAAAAAGAAAAAAAAAAGATAGATACCTGACACCCTGTTTTTGTTTGCTCTGTTTTTATAGATTCTATTTTTTGACGAATACTTTTAACTAATAGCATTGAAATAGTCAAGTTTGTATCTTAAGGATATGTTCCTAAGACTAAGAAGAAACATAGTATTTTGGGACACAAAGAGGCCTGGGAACTTAGGTTTCTCAGAGGACGCATCCTTGAAGAGTTTTGGAAACGCTCTTCTCTCTTTGTGCTGACTCCTCCAGGAGATCATGGAGGAGGCTGAAATTCGATGGAATGAAGTTGAGAGAGCAGTGCACGAGTTTGAAAAAGATATTCTAAAATCCATATCTAAGAAGAAAGGGAGTATTTTGGCCACTCAGAAAGTGCTGAAGTACATCGAGGACATGAACCGCCGGAGGGTGAGTTGGCAGACGAGTTTGCAAACAGAGCTTGGAAAGGGAAAACACTCTTCCAGGGTTATTATGGAAATCATCCATGTGAAGCAGCCTAGCTCCATTTGGTCCACCATAAATATTGCCCACATATGCAGATTTTTTTTGCATCCCCTAAAGTGTATGAGTATATGCATGTTTTAAAATGTATGTTTGTGGCTGGGCACATTGGCTCACGCCTGTAATCTCAGAACTTTGGTAGGCTGAGGCAGGCGATCATCTGAACTCGAGGACCAGTGTGGCCAACATGGTGAAACCCCATCTCTACAAAAAATACAAAAATTAGCTGGACATAGTGGCACATGCCTGTAATCCCAGCTACTCGGGAGGCTGAGGCAGGAGAACTGATTCAACCTGGGAGGCGGAGGTTGCAGTGAGCCAAGATTGCATAACTGCACTCCAGCCTAGGTGACAGAGCAAGACTCCATCTCAAAAAATAATAATAATAATAAAAATAAATGCATGATTATCAAGGCTAACACCAATAGTACTTCAGATTGATTTCTGTTTGTTTTGTTATTCGTTTCAAGATCTGATGTATTTTCTTGAGAAAGGTATGAGGCTGGGCTGGTCCAACCTGTCTAGAGAGGTGACTTGGGAGTAGGACAGGTAAATCTCTTTTTCAAATTTTTTTTAAAACTTTGAAAAAATTGTTATAGAGATGTGTTGCCCAGGCTGGTGTCGAACTCTAGGGCTTAAGCAGTGAACCCGCCTTGGCCTCCCAAAGTGCTGGGATTACAGGGTAAATCTCAAGCTCTTTGAGTTCCTTTGTTATCAGGAAATGGACGTTGGGCTGTTATGAGAAAAAAGGAGAATTTGGGGGTTACTCCTTCATTTCCAGAGACTTTACAATATGTCAAGCTACAGGTCCTGGAGACAAAGTAGGGTTACTAACCCTAACATGTTAAGAGTGATAAGGGCCGGGTGCGGTGGCTCACGCCTGTAATCCCTGCACTTTGGGAGGCCGAGGCGGGCAGATCAGGAGGTCAAGAGATGGAGACCATCCTGGCCAACAAGGTGAAACCCTGTCTCTACTAAAAATACAAAAATTAGCTGGGCATTGTGATGCACACCTGTAGTCCCAGCTACTTGGGAGGCTGAGGCAGGAGAATTGCTTGAACCCAGGAGGCAGAAGTTGTGGTGAGCCAAGATCATGCCACTGCACTCCAGCCTGGTGACAGAGCGGGACTCCATCTCAAAAAAAAAAAAAAAAAAAAAAAAGTAATAAAAATTATATAAACTACCATGGGAATACAAGACCAAGAAATCATAAGATAATTTTGTCAGGAAAGGCCCCTACAGTAGCATAGACTCAAATAATCTTGAATTTGAAAGCAGTATAAAATTTGCATGGTGCAAAACCAGTGTCCTCTGCTTCTTGGTCATGAAATGTCATAGCAGCCCCAGCCTGAATAGAAGTAAAAGGACCTAAAATAAATGGCAGAATGTTAGGGCTCAAGGTTCGGTTTGCAGCCCCAGAACCGTCCACTTTTCAAACCAATAGGAAAGAGGAGAGAAATGGATTAAATGCATTAAAATGTGCCTTTATTTTTTAGGACAATATGAAGGAGAAATTATGTTTGAAAAATGTTTCTCTCAAAGTTCAGAGGAAAAAAATGGTTTTACAATTGAGGCAGGTATGTGACTCTCTCTCTCTCTCTCTCTCTCTCTCTCTCTCTCTCTCTCTCTCTCTCTCTCTCTCTCTCTCTTTCTAAGGTTACCGTGGTAGGCTGAATAAGGTTCTCACCCCCACTCCAAACTGTCCATATCCTAATCCCTGGAACCTGTGAATACATTAACTTATGTGGCAAAAAGGATTTTGCAGATGTGATTAATTTCAGGATCTTGAGATGGGGAGATGATCTTGAATTAACTGGGTGGCCCTATATAATCTCCCTCTTTACCAAAGGGAAGCAGGAGGGTGAGAGAAGCTATGATAACAGAAGCAGAGATCAGAGCGATGAGCATTCACGATAGGGAAAAGGGGCCAGGAATCAAGGACTGCAGACAGCTTCTAGAAGCTGGAAATGACAAGGAAACAGATTCTACCATAGAGCCTTGGGGAGAAATGCAGCCCTGTTGATTTGAGCCTCCAAACCCATGTCAGACTCCTGAACTCCAGAACTGTAAGGTAATAAATTTGCATTAAAGCCAGTAGGTTTGTGGTGATTTGTTACAGCAGCAACAGGAAACTCATACAATGACTGTGCAGGCAAATCAAAGCTTTTCTGTAGACAGAGTTGGCTTGAATTTAAAAGACCCTCAAGACATGCTGGTTGGCCCTTTCTGCAAAGTGGCCTGGGTGGCACAGTGGCATGCGCTTTGGTTGGCATGGCATCGCTACCAGCTGACCCTAATGGCTCCTAATGAAAGGCAGTAAGGCAGACATGGCTCCATCCTTTCCTAGCTCAATATTTTTATCACTAACTCGAACTTGGGCACTGATGGCATGCTCATCAAAGGGGGCTCGTGACAAGGACACAAAACTGGGTAGGAGAATTAACATGTCGGGAGCCTATTGCTTGGGTGACTTGGGATCCAGAAAGACCTCAGCAAGCTGGGACAGATTTAACAGCAGGACGTGACAAAGGACAAGCGTAAGACCCTGTACTTTTGATCCCCCAAAATATCTGCTCAGGTACAGGATGGCTTAGTCATAGAGTACGTGATAAAGTCAGCTCGGCTGGTGGTGATGCTGTGGCCTAGGCTACGCTCATAGAAACACAATGCCCAGACCAAGGAAGGGGTAGCCTTGCTCTCCTCTGTGTACACATCCCCCACCTGGAGTGTCATGTCACAGGGTGAGCTCCACCCTTGAAAGAATTGGCAAACTAGAGTTCACACAGAGAGCAGGCCAGTTGTCGAAAATAGAAACCATGTCCAAGAGCCTGAGACTGATGCGGAGAGAGGGCTCAGGAAGGCCACAGCCACTGTCTCCAAGTGCTCAGGGCTGCAGCAGGAAGGGAGAGCAGAGCTGGGGCTGTGGATGGAGGTGTCAGGGAAGGAGATTTGAGTTCAGTGCAAGAAACAGTTCTGCAGTGAGTGGTCCCAGTGGAGCCGTCTGCAGATCGTCAGTTCCTGGTACTTGGGGATTCGTGCAAGCACAGGCATCTTGAAGAAGGGTTTTAAGCTAGAGATGGAGAAGAGATGGATGATCTTTAACTTTAAGGCTGCTGCTGCTACATAGAAATAACACAGACACGGGCCCTGCCCTTGAGAGCTCATAGACTAGTGGGCAGCAGTGTATGAGAAAAGGTGTGTATGTATAATTGTGTATACAGAAGCTACATACCAAGGACCACAGAGTTAAAGCTTCCAGGGGCTCAGCAGAGAGAGGGGTCACCCTCTGGTGTGGAAAACAGGTTGGGAGCATTGGAGTTAGAGGAATGATTGTATTGGGGCTTAAGGAAGTTGTGTTGTTTTGGGAAGGGGAAGAAGATGAATCCCCGGAGGAAGGATAGACAGCATGAGTGAGGCGTGGGAGTGAGGACAGCAGTTCCCAAGTTGGGCTATTGTCTACCACAAATATAAAATGGCTTAGGCCTGGCAGGGCTGGTAAGGGGGCCAGGTCAGGGAGGGAACCTTATACACGCAGGCACTGCAGGGCAGAAATAGCAGATGATCAAAGGAGGGAGAATCTATGGGCTGCTTTTCTAGGGTTTTTCATGTTAAAAACAACCTTTAAATGGCCTGATTCTTACTCTTCCTTCATGGCCCTGTTTAGGCACCACCCGCTGTGGGATGCCCTCTGTGCATGACTCAGTCTTTCATTGTCCCATGGCCTGGCTCAGGGACTTCTGTGTGCCCTCTGCCCCACTCCCCAACGTTCCCCCCGAACAACACATCCCACTGCACCATGCTGTTGAGTCAATGGCTTGCCTGTAAACCCTCAGATGCACTCCATGGGGCCAGGGAACATTGTGTTTACTGAAATCTCTATTCCCAGATGCCTAGTATGTGTTTGTTGAATGACTGAAAGATGACTGAGCTTCAAAGTCTTATCAAGAGTTGCAAGATATGAGCCATATATTCAAAATCACAACTGATGTATTGTCTTTTCTTTCATCTTTCTGAGCTGTAGAAGGAAGAGGTGGGTGAAGCCCTTCATGAGGTTGATTTTCAGCAGTTGAAGATAGAGAATGCTCAATTTCTAGAGACAATTGAAGCAAGGAATCAAGAACTGACCCAGCTAAAGCTGTCATCTGGAAACACTCTACAGGTCCTCAGTGCCTACAAAGTAAGGCCATTCCTGATGCCTCCCTGCCTCCTGCCACAAGGCTTTCCACACCCATCTTTCTGGCCAGAGGGAGGTACTTGTGCATTGCAGTTTCATACAGCGCTTAGGTGCCCCCTCGCTGTCAAGCCATGTGTCCTAAAATTCCCTGAATGCTCCCACAACCCTGGCTGTGCATGAGAACCAGAGTTTTTCTTAAAAAAAAAAACAAACCCTATAGATAGGTAGATAGATAGATGATTCATGGATAGATAGATAGACGATAGGTAGATGATAGATAGATAGACGACAGGTAGATAGATGATAGATAGATCTAGATAGATAATAGATGATAGTGATAGATGATAGATAGATGACTGATAGATAGACAGACAGACAGACAGATAGATAGATAGATAGATAGATAGATAGATGCCCGAGTCCCACCCTGACTAATTGAATTGGGGGGGCATAGATAGCTAATAGATGATAGATAGTGATAGATGATAGATAGATGACTGGATAGTTAGATAGACGGATAGATAGATAGATAGATAGATAGATAGATAGATAGATAGATGCCCGAGTCCCACCCCGACTAATTGAATTGGGGGGGGGTGTATCTTATTTATTTTGTTTTGTTTTTTTGTTGTCATTGTTAATTCTCCAAGTGATTTTTATTCATGGTGAGTTTTGAGAACTAACCACATTCAGAGTCCTGTTTAATTTGACTCTAAATGTGGTTAGTTCTCAACTCACCATGAGTAAGAATTGCATTATAAGCACTTTCCTGTAAATCTGCTATAAATCAGAAAACTACTAAATAATTTGTCATCCAAACAGAACCCTTTTGGGAGGGAAAAGAGGCACTATTAATAACTAAGCAGAGACTATAGACACACACAGGGCCTGGCCCCAGCAGACCAGGCCATCTGGGCACCCAGCTAGAGACCATCTAACGCAATATTCAGCAACTGCAGGCCGGTGTATCCCACCCACTGCCCTGTAAGCTGAGAATGGTATTACAGAAGAACCTTTATAATTGATTTGATGATAGAAAACACTAACTTGAAATCAAATGAAGCAAAATTGGTTTCTTCCCCAGAAATTCCGTTTCTTTCATTAGTAGACCTGTAGTCTAAAATATTGTACTCAATGATTATCTTTTGAATTGAATCAATAAAACATTGGTAGGATTTTTTTCCTATTGCTAATATAAGTACATAATACCCACAGTTTTGCTTCTGGGTTTGCAAAGCCTAAAATATGTACTGTCTGGTCCTTTACGGAAAGGTTTTGCTGACCCCTCGCATAGTGCCCAGGTGGCAATGGTGGCTGTGGCTTAGGTAGCTTGCAGGTGGGCTCTATTTGGCCCACACAGTTTAAAAATGTAAATGTGAATGTGTATAGACCAGGTTTATGTTTGTTCAACATTTTCCTTTTACAAATGAAAAATCTGAGGGCCAAAGATACAGAATAGACAGGACGCAGTGGCTCTTACCTGCAATCCCAGCACTTTGGGAGGCCTAGGCAGGCTATCACCTGAGGCCAGGAGTTTGAGACTAGCCTGGCTAACATGGCAAAACCCTGTCTCTACTGAAAATAACAAAAAATTATCTGGGCATGTTGGTATACACTGTAATCTCAGCTACTTGAGAGGCTGAGGCACAAGGATGGTTTGTACCCCTGGGGGCAGAGGTTGCAGTGAGCCAAGATCATGCCACTGCACTCCAGCCTGGACAACAGAGCAAGACTCAGGCTCAAAAAAAAAAAAAATGCAGAGCATTAGCCAAATTCAAGCAACAAGTTACTGACAAAGCTGGGACTCCCAGTCTAGCATGCATCCCACCTAACTCAGTGTGTATCCCACCCAACTTCCTTTCCCAGCAAAAAGTATGTAGAAAACAGTGTGTCAGCATTCTGAAATTTATGTTTCATAAACATCCAACAATTTTCCACTTTTAGCTTCTCTTATCAGTTTTTAGCTTATCTGATCACTGTTATTTCTAGAGGAGGCCAATTCCTGTGACTTCCAGGCGCTTGTTGCCTGGAGAGCGAATTGTACTTGGTTAGATTACATTGGACCTTGATCTCGTCCTTCAGAATCAATTAAGTAGCACAGGCCTGCCTGGTCTTGTGCAGGGAAAGCCAAGGGTTTTGGAAATGGAGCTACTGATTTTTAAAATCAAACTCCCAGGCTGCGGGATCTGACCTCTTGAGGATGGGTCTAAACGCACAGTGCAGATTGCTTGCAGTACCCGAGATCAGCAGCACAGGCCACAGTGGGCAGAGTGAGTCATTCCTGGGGGAAATGGAGGCAGCACAACTGACTTGTGGAGTCAGACCTTGCCTGTGCTTGAATAGGGGCTCCTCCTCCTGAGGGAGGTGCTTCATCTGGGCAAGATTCTTCCCCTCTTATTTTATTTTTTTTGAGACGGAGTCTTGCTCTGTTGCCAGGCTGGAGTGCAGTGACACAATCTCGGCTCATTGCAACCTCTGCCTCCCGGGTTCAAGTGATTCCCCTGCCTAAGCCTCCCAAGTAGCTGGGACTACAGGCCTGCGCTACCACACTCAGCTGATTTTGTATTTTTAGTAAAGATGGAGTTTCACCATGTTGGCCAGGATGGCCTCAATCTTTTGACCTTGTGATCCACCTGCCTCAGCCTCCCAAAGTGCTGGGATTACAGGCGTGAGCCACCATGCACAGCCCAATTCTTTACCTCTTAGAGGCAAGTTTTGTGCCACCAGGATGGTGCTCTGTCTAGTATATCTTGTGTCCCCAGCATCAAGGACAGTGCCTGGATAAACCAGGTACTTGGCCAATATTGTTGAATGAACTGCTCACAGTATAGGTGCGTACTTAGTAGGCATGAGAGAGTGACAGGAGGGGCCACTTTGATATAAATATCAAATATTCATTCTCCCAGCAATCAAAAAATGAAAATAAAGAAAGAAATATCAAACACCCAAGTGTGAAACCTTGTTAAAGGCATGCAGAAGAACTTTTCTCTATACTAAAAGTACCAATACCTCCAGTAGGGTAGGCACTGGGCTAAGTGCTAAGGGTACAGCATTTAGACAGCACCATGCAGAAATGGGCTCTTCTCGTCTGTGAATTTTATGTGTGAGCCTGAGTCAAGGTGGTAGCTTTTTCTCTGACTTTATGCCCTCAAGCCCTGCCTGGTGGAGTCTGGTGGAATATAAGCATGTGACTACCGCTGTGCTGAGTCACTCTGGACTGACTATAAACTAGTGATTTAGGGCCTTGTAGATAGAATTCTAAGACGTCCCCAAGACTCCCCACCCACTGGGGTCTACACCTTGTATAATCTCCAGCCAGGACTGTGAATATGATGGGTTCAGTTATTAAGTTCTGTTCTGTTCTATGATTCAGTTACACTGTATGGCACAGTTGACCTAAAGATAGGGTGATCACCTGCTTGGGCCTGACCTAATCACACTAGTCCTTTGAAAGTACAGATTCCCCCCAGGTGCATTGGCTCACGCCTGTAATCCCAGCACTTTGGGAGGTCGAGGTAAGTGGATCACCTGAGGTTGGGAGTTGGAGACCAGCCTGACCAACATAGAGAAAGGCCGTCTCTACTAAAAATACAAAAAATTAGCCGGTGTGGTGGTGCATGCCTGTAATCCCAGCTAGTCAGAAGGCTGAGGCAGGAGAATCACTTGAAGAAGTGGAGGTTGTAGTGAGCTGAGTTTGCACCATAGCACTCCAGTCTGGGCAACAAGAGCATAACTCCATCTAAAAAAAAAAAAAAAAAAATTCTCAGCTGGGTGTGGTGGCTCACCCCTATGATCCCAGCACTTTGGGAGGCCAAGGCGGGTAGATGATGAAGTCAGGACATCGAGACCATCCTGGGCAACATGGTGAAACCCTGTTTCTACTAAAAATACAAAAACTAGTCAGGCGTGGTGGCATGCACCTGTAGTCCCAGCTACTTCAGGAGCTGAGGCAGGAAAATCACTTGAACCCAGGAGATGGAGGTTGCAGTGAGCCGAGATCTTACCACTGCACTCCAGCCTGGCGACAGAGTGAGACTCCATCTCAAAAAAAAAAGATAGTACAGAGTTTCTCTAGAAGAGGACATCATAGATGCAAAGCATGAGAGGAAATTGCTGGAGGAAGTGTTCTCCATTGTGGACTTGAAGACAGAGGAGCTACATGGAAGGGATCTAAGAGGGGCCTCTGGGAGCTGAGAGTGACCTCCTGCTGACAGCCCAAAAGAAAACAAGGGCCTTGATCCTGCAGCTTCAAGGAAGTGCCCTTCTGCCAACAATAATGAGCTTGGAAGAGGACCCTAAGCCCCTGACAAGAACCACAGCCCTGGCGAACACCTTGATTTCAGCCTGAGGGGACCAAGGGGGAGAATCCAGCCACACTGTGCCCAGACTTCTGACCTATGGAAGCTATGATGGGTGTTGCTCTAAGCCACAAAAGTTTGTGGTAATTTGTTACATAGCAATAGAAAGTGCATATGGTTGTTTTCAGAAGTGGCCTCCTCATATCTTGACTCAGCGTCACCAATTCCGTTCTCATCAACCTTCGTGAAGACCTGCCCCAGCAGAGCCAGTCATGGCCTCACTGTCCCCTGGAAGTTCCATCCTTCCTGCCCTGCCGCTGTAAATTGTTGACCGCTCGTCTTCCCTCTGCTCTCCTTCCTCCCACCTGAATTGCTGGTTTGCAATAAAGTTTTGCCCCATCTCCCCAGCCCCACAGCTGACCCCATCAGTCTGGTCTCATTCACTTTTGCTTTCCTTAGCAGAGCAATTTTCATGCAGGACATGGAACAGGAAATGAGCCTTAAAGAAGTGAGGCCTGGAAATAGGAGTGCCAAAGAGAATGGTCCCTGGGTGCCAGAAGGTCCCCCACGCAGGTGGTTCTGGGCTCCCCTGTTTTGACACCCTGGGGCAATGCCCTTGCCCCCTCCTCCTGCCTTCACTTTGACTGTGGCCCTGCTGTTCTCCACCCACTCTCCCAGCTCTTATTAGATCCTCCTCTCCTCAGTTCTTTCCTTATCTTGGAATGTTCTCTTCTCTCTTCATCTTAACATACTGACTCAACCTTTCAGCTTTCTTTCTAGCATTTTTTTTTTTCCAGGAAAACCTTGTCCAGCCACTGCCCTGGTATTCTCACAGGGTGGCACAATTGCAGTCTTACATTTCTTCTTGAAATTATTTGACTGCATCTCCCCCACTGTGCAGGCCTTGAGCCAACTTCCTGATGGCAGAGCCTAGTTTGCTTCACTAGCCAGTGCTTGGTGCAGGGACTGGCACCTGGTGGCTGGGTTTTCAGGGTTTGTTGAGCGAGCTCCCCCAGATCACTGTGTCTCTCCCTTGGCCCACTCCTCTGCCTAGCAGAGCACATCCCAGCTCCTCTGGACTGACTCTTCCCTACTGGGAGAGAGTGGCCAAGAGAGGGCCAGTCTAAGAAGCAGGGGCCAGCAGTTGTTGGTGAAGGGCAGATGATGCCCTGGAAATCTGCAAGGCTGCTCTTTCAGGACTCCTCTAAAACTAGTAGGCCCAGCTTCATTCGGAGATGAGACAGTGGTGGAGCCTGTGGGCTGTGGAATTTTACTGTCTGGGCTCAATTCCTGTCCCCCCCCTTGTCTCTGTGACCTTAGGGAAATGGTTTTTACCTCCCTAAAGGTCAGTTTTCTCACCTATAAATGGAAATACAGTAGCACCCACCTCATGGGAGAACTCCCCACTCTCCATCCACATGAGATAGTCATAGCAGCTGTTTGTTGAATGTTCTCCATGTGCCAGGCACTGTGCTCAGCACTCTACAGCAGTAGTGCCCACCTCATGGGGAGTACTTCCCACTCTCCATCCACATGAGATAGTCATAGCAGCTGTTTGTTGAATGTTCTCCATGTACCAGGCACTGTGCTCAGTGCTCTACCAGGCCATCTCCTGTAAGCCTCTCCACAACCCTATGTGGTGACTGGACCCAAGTTTAGAGAGGTTCTGGGACCTCCCCAGAGATCTCCTTAGTGAGTAGTGGGGCAGGATTTAGGTCCCCATATGCCTGATGTCTCTGCCTCTCCTGCTGAGGACAAGACCCTAAGGTCCTCTCCTCTCAGACATCAGGATTTGGAAAATCTGGGCAACGGTGAGAAGGGCAATTTGGACTTCCTGGATGGTCCTGCTTTTCTGTTTATTAACCAAGAGCTGTCTCCCCTTCACGCGGTTCTGAGAGGTCACCTTAGCTCAAGACTTGCCATGTTGTTATATTCCAGAGCAAGCTTCACAAGGCAGTGGACATGTGCATCAGTCTGGACAAGGAGATCTTGCTGAGGAAAGAGCTACTTGAAAAAATTGAAAAAGAAACGCTACAAGTAGAGGAGGTAGGAGAGGTCCAAATGTGGTATTTCTGATGTTTGTCTCCTTGTGTTTATAAGCGCTTGAGTCAAGGTCCGCCAAGATCTAAGCCACCTTGCTGGTTTATCTAGAAAAGCCTAGACCATAAAAATCAAAACAGCTCTGGGCCATCAAAGCACAGAGTAGCACCTGGAGACCTACAGTTCAGGTGTGTCACATTTTACTGCTGGGTTAGGTTCTAGAGTCAGCTCAGAAAACAAAAATTTCATAGAGTCCAAATAACGTTTGGGAATTCCTTAAGTGACCCATAAAGTACAGTATTCAAAGTGTTGTGTCCACAACCCCATGAAAAATGTTCAATGCATATAGTAATGTATCTGATGGGAAAAAAAATACACATGACAAAATAGAACGTTTGATGTAAAGGAGAGACAGAGAGAGGTCATAACCATATGACATCTCACCCGGTACCCAGGCTGGATGCTCACAGCCTGAGTAGCCTGTAGCAGAGACCATCTGAAGAACCGCAGACCTGTGGCCTCTGTCCTGGGCTCACTCCAAGGCCTGTGGTCACTGTGTGAAGAGGTGGGTGGAGGAGTCTGAGCTCCCTGCCTATCTGAATTGCTGTGTACCTCTCATTACTTTGCTGAGCATTGCTAGCTGAATTTCCATATGGAATGAAATTCCATTCCATAAATGTACATAGGATGTAATGCAAAGAGAACTTTTTGGGGAGGGCGCAGGAGAAAGAGTGCTGGACTCATGATCAGAAGGCCTGGCATCAGGTTTGGTGCTGCCAATTTCTAGTCTTGAACAAACTTTTAAATAGATGGGACCGTTTCCACGTCTGTGAAATAGATCTATTGCCCTTAGTGTAGTGGCTAGAGAGGACCACATATAATGACGCTTTGTCAACCCCTAAAACTGTTTGTATGATTATTAATGTCATTGTCTTGTGTGGGCCTAAAGTGTCTCCCTTAGTGTGTGTGGCCCCAAATTTGCCTACAGTGGCCCCAAAGCTACAGGATTATTAACGTCTAAGTTTTGTCACAGCATACACATTATATTCTTGATGGAGAACTAACACCTTCTGGGAAAAAAAAAAGAACACCCCGTCTCAATACAGAGTGGCAAGTAACAAAGTTAAAGCAAAAACCCGTAAACTCTCTTAATGCAGAATTGCTGTGGTTCTTGTTTTTCCCTTGGGCTGATAGTTATTAGATTACAAGTAAAACTTAAAATTGATTTTGTTAAAGCCTGGCATTTACTCTTTAGTATATTGTAGCTTTCTTATTAACATCTTGCAAATAGCTTTATTGGGATTCAGTTTATATACCATATAATCACCCATTTAAAGTGTATGTTTCAGTGGATTATGATATATTTAGAGTCGTGTAACCATCAGCACAGTAATTCTCGAACATTTTTATCACCCCAGAAAGAAACCCTGCACCCATTAGAAATCCTTCCTCATAGGACAGGTGCGGTGGCTCCTCCTGTAATCCCAGTACTTTGGGAGGCTGAGGTGGGCAGATCATTTGAGGTCAGGAGTTCAAGACCAGCTCGGCCAACATGGTGAGACCCCCGCCTTTACTAAAAATACAAAGATTAGCCAGGCATGGTGGTGGGCACTTGTAGGGAGGCTGAGGCAGGAGGATTGCTTGAGCCTGGAAGGTGGAGGTTGCAGTGAGCTGAGATCGCACCACTACACTTCAGCCTGAGTGATCGAGGGAGACTCCGTCTTGGGGGTGGGGGAGAAGAAAGAAAGAAATTCTTCTCCATTCCCCACCACAGCCCACTCCTGCCCTCCAGCTCTCAGTGGCCACTAACCTACTTTCTACCTCTGTGGATTTGTCTGTTCTGGACATTTTATGTAAAAGAGATTATACAATATGTGGTCTTTTATGAGTGGCTAATCATGTGTTTCTTTTTATGGCTGAATAATATTTCATTGTGTGGACAGACCGCATTTTATTTAGCCCCTCATCAGTTGGTGGACATTTGGGTTTCCACTTTGGGACTATCACGAGCAATCCTGATATGAACATTCTGGTACAAGTTTTTGTGTGGATACGTGTTTTCTTTTCTCTTGGCGTGTTTTCTTTTCTCTTTGACATATACCTAAAAGTGGAATTGTGGTTATACATGGTAATTCCATATCTAACACCTAGAAAAACTACCAATCTGTTTTCGAAAGTGGCTCTACCATTTTGCATTCCCACAGTGTATGAGGGATCCGGTTTCTGTGCATCTCTGTTATTCTCAGGTTTTCTTTCATGGCCATCCTACTTGCCATGAAGTGATATCTCATTATGGTTTTTATTTGAATTTGCCTAATGACATGAAGCATCTTTTCATGTGCTTACTGGCCACTTGTCTCTTTCTTTGAGAAATGTCTAGTCAAGTCCTTTGCTCAGTTTATAAGTGGGTTATTTATCTTTTTAACTTACCTATTGTAAGTTGAAAATACCATAAGTCAAAAATGCATTTAACATATCTGACCTAAACATTATAGCTTAGCCTAGCCTATCTTAATTGTGCTTAGAACACTTATATTAGCCTACAACTGGGAAAAATCTTCAAATACAAAGTCTGTTTTATATAGGGTGTTGACTGTCTCATGTAATTTATTGGATACTGTACTGAAAGTGAAAAACAGAAGGGTTATACCAGCACTCGAAGTGTGGTTTATACTACACGTGTATTGCTTTTGCACCATCTTAAAGTAAAAAAAACTTAAATTGACCCATTGTAAGTCAAAGATCACCTGTATAAGGTTCACAAATATTTTCTTCCATTTTATGGATTTTCTTTCACTTTCTTAATACTTTTTTCTGTAACGCAAATGTTTTTAATTTTGATAGAATTCCAGTTTATCCATTTTTTTATTTTGAGCTTGTGCTTTTGGTGTCATGTATAAGAAACCATTGTTTTACCCCATATCATGAAGATTTACTCCTCTGTCTTCTTCTAAGAGTTTTATAATTTTAGCTCTTATGTTTAGGTTTATAATCGATTTTGAGTTGATTTTTTTTTTTTTTTAAGACAGAGTCTTACTCTGTCACCCAGGCTGGAGTGCAGTGGCATGATCTCAGCTCACTGAAACCTCCTCCTCCCAAGTTCAAGCAATTCTCCTGCCTCAGCCTCCCCAGTAGCTGGGATTACAGGCGCCCGCCACCACACCAGGCTAATTTTTTTGTATTTTTAGTAGAGACGGTGTTTTACCATGTTGGCCAGGCTGTTCTCAAACTATTGACCTCGAGTGACTCCCAAAGTGCTGGGATTACAGGCATGAGCCACTGTGCCCAGCTGATGTTACTTTTTAAAAAATGCTTTCTATTAAAAGGGCTAATTAATTTTACCATATGATAATTTTTTAAATAAATATTTAAGAGACAAAGATTACTCAAAAAATGGAATTACCATTAGTTCTAGCAATTCTGCATCTGAGAATATACCCAAAAGAATTGAGAAGGGAATTGAACAGATATTTGTACACCCATGTTGACAGCGCTGTTCTTCATAATAGCCGAGAAGTGGAAACAACCCAAGTTTATCCAATCAATGGATGAATGGATAAACAAATCAAACGAGGTGTATCCATACCTTGGAAAACCACTCCACCTGAGTGAGGAAGGACATTCTGACACATACTACCATGTGTAGGAAACTTAAGGACATTATGTTAAGTGAAACAAGCCAGAAATAAAAGGACAAATACTGTATGATTCCACTTATATGAGGTAGTCAGAGCAGTCAAATTCATAGAGACAGAAAGTGGAATGGTGGTTGCCAGAGGCTGGGAGAGGAGGGATGGAGGAGTTACTGTATAATGGGTACAGAATTTCAGTTTTACAAGACAAAAAGAGTTCTGGAGATGGATGGTGGCGATGGTTGCCCAAGAATGTGAATGTACTTAACGCTGCAGAACTGTATAGTTAGAAAGGGTTAAGATGGTACATTTTATGTCATATAAATCTTATAATTAAAAAAAGACATGGAAATGAATTGAGCCTGATCAAAGTATACTTAAGTACACAATTTTTCACACACAGGAAAACCCTAAGTCATCAAAATAAGTACAACATATTCCTTAATAAAGAAGAAGAGGAAGGAGGGAAGGGAAGGAAAGGGAAGGAGAGAGGAAAGGAAAGAGAAAGGAATGGAAGAAACAACACTGTTTAGACTACACTAGGTGTTTCTGAACTGGATTAAAACATGTTTAGCAAAAAGTCAGAATCTTGTGATTCTCACCCCTCCCCAACCTCTTTGAAAATGTAAACATCGGCCCTGTGCAGTGGTTCACACCTGTAATCCCAGCACTTTGGGAAGCCTAAGCAGGTGGATCACCTGAGGTCAGGAGTTCGAGACCAGCCTGGCCAACCTGGTGAAACCTCACCTCCACTAAAAATACAGAAATTAGCTGCGTGTGGTGGCGGGCACCTATGATCCCAGCTACTCAGGAGGCTGAGGCAGGAGAATTGCATGAACCCAGAAGGTAAAGGTTGCAGTGAGCTGAGATCGGCCATTGCACTACAGCCTGGGCGACAGAGAAAGACTCCGTCCCGCCCCCCAAGAAAAATATTTTTGAAACTCTATTGGAACTGTGTGGAGAGATGGCAGGGCCAGTGAGTTCTCAAAGCAGGAGCTGCTGGGGCCCCCTGGGTGTAACTGCTCCTTTCCAACCCAGGACCGGGCCAAAGCCGAGGCAGTGAACAAGAGGCTCCGGAAGCAGCTGGCCGAGTTCCGGGCACCACAGGTGATGACTTATGTCTGGGAGAAGATCTCAAATGAGGACCTGGAGAAGAGCATCAAGATGTGGGAAAGGAAAGTGGAGATAGCAGAGGTGAGCCACGGGGAGCCCCAGGATGGGCAGTCTTTTATGTCCTCAATGTTTTCATTTAGGATTTTGATCTTTGGGCTAAGAATACAGATGTTTGGATGTATAATTTCTGAAAGAAATCTCAGCAGTTGCTTTAACTATTAAACCAAGATGAAGGATGATTTTTTTTTTAAAGTTCCCCCTTTTGTATTGTTAGGGGCAAGGTCTTCTCAGTTTTCAGGGAGAAACTCTGTAGTAATCATGTGTTTTTAGTTGCCTGTTTTCTTAATGAATTCTAGAAGTCTCTGAATCCCTCTGCACTGGTAATTTAGTAATTGCTACTTTATACATGGAGAAGCCAGTTTTTTAAAAAATGAGATAATGATGGATTTTTAAATATCACTCAGCCTCATTCCCTGCATGTACATAGTTGCCGTGGGTCTTTCTGCTTTTGAACGAATCCTGCAGACTTTGAATATTGTACTGTGTGACAGAAAGCACGCTTGCTCGTGTGAGCTGTGGAGATAAATGGGCAATGGGAAAACATATGCTGGTGTCAGAAGAAAGACAAACACCCAGGCTGCTGTGGCCAGGCTGCAAACTGAGGTCACTCACACCATCATTAGAGTCGCTTAGAAAGCCAGTCAGGTCACTTGGGAAACTGGGACCTTGGTGTTTTCACATCTAGCCCCTGGCTCCCATTTCCTGTGTTACTTTCTCCCGTGTCTCCTGTGGCCATTTTGTAGCAGAGAGTAAATTAGGATCCAAACTTGAGCCCCTCAGATCTGGAGCTGAGAAATAGCAGAATCGTGGCAGGAACATGCAATTTCTCACTTCACTGAACAGAAACATGCTCTACAGAAGGATCTTCCGGGTGGGTGCTGCCCTTTGGTGGCCCCTGCACTACATTGTGCATGGAGGGCACACTGCCCCACACAGAGTCACCTGCACCATCACGGGGCTGGACGAGGGTTGCATTCTGAATAGCCACAATCAGTTTTTCCCAAGTGACCTTCTCCCCCGGCTCCTTTATCTTTTTTTTTTTTTTTTTTTGGCAGATGTCCTTAAAAGGCTACCGTAAGGCTTGGAGTCGAATGAAAACAACCAATGAACAGTTGCAGGCAGATTACCCTCATGAGAAGTAGCCAGAGGCAGGCCACTGCTTACAGACCCAGACATCAGCTATTAAAGTAATCAGCTCCTTTCTAGTCACAGGCTCCTCTCACTGTTCTGTGTCTGCCTGGTGTTCCCAACTTCCTGGCCAGGCTGAGCATCACCTCTTGGGCCACATCTGCTCATGGGGAGCGTTTTCACAACCTGGTCCCTGGAACTGTTACCACTGAAAGAACCACAGCGTACTCTAATGGTTTGACACTTGTTAGCCTGCATTTAGTTCACAAGCACAATGAAAGTGACCTTCCCACACATGGAAGTGGGACAGAGGAGGGAGAGCCAGCCCAGTGTGCACCATGGGTGTATCCGTGGCAGCTCTGGTGTGCCACTATCAAAAACAGACACCAAAACAGCATGGTGAATGCCTGGCACCCAGCGTTCTGAGCTTACTCTTCAGTTTGGTGGGGTAGCCCCTGGACTAGATATTACTGCAAAAGAAAACAAGCACGAAGGAAACCAAGATGATTTCTTCTGGCTGATGCAGCCTGTTCTGACCTGCAGAAGACCCACCTTCCCCTTCCTCTCCACCGTAATAGTCATAGTATAAGGGTTGTACAGATGGCTCAGGAGACCTGCCTGATTCCCTTACACCCTTCTCCCTAACATCTAGATCATCTCTAGATGCTAGCTGTGAATGCATGGTGGTCCTTCTTTGTCCCTGGAAGTATGATCCAATGTGGCTCAGTTCAGAATCAGAATATGTCTTCTGTGTCATGGCATTTGGTCCATGGTGGGAGAAAGAAATCAACTTTTCCCAGTGGTGAAGTGAAGATAGGGGAGGGCCGGCCATCTCAGCCGTGGACGTGATCCAGTTGCTGTAGTCTTCCACCTTGGTGTACAGAAACAGGCCGGGGCATGGCTCACCACCGAAGTTCAGGACTCCTCTCAGAACCCACATGTCGAACTGCTGTAGCTGGCACATCACTGGGCTTCCTGGCTCCCCCTGTGACAAAAGACAGAAGGCTTCAGGGCTTAGAAAAACTAGGTTTTGTTGTAAGTCCATCTTGGTGCAATATACTTTTTGTCCTAGAAATGTTTATACTGGTTCTCACTGGAAATGGGGCAAATGATAGGATGCGATTTCAAATCTAGGCAGCCACCCACCATGGATTCCAACAAGATGACTTTTCCTTTTATTATGCAAATTAGCTGTGACTTCTTCGGGTTGCCGATACCTTCCTGGTTCATATTTCATTTTCTTGCCCCTTTCCAGTCCTTTGGCCAAACCCTCCCTCTCTTCTGGCTTCTCATTCCTGAAATGTTGGTATTTGTTTCCGTTCTGGCCTGAAATGCTCACCTTTCCCCTTCTCCTCTCTGCCTTGCTTCGACCCTTAGTTTAAGCCACTTCCTGCCACCTGGCAGCTGCTCACCAGCTGGCTGGCTGTGCTCTTGGTTTTCACCATTCCCAAGGGAGCAGGCCTCTGGGACCTGGGAATTCTGCCACACACACTTTACCTAACTCAAGGTGAGGGAATAGAAGCTTGGCATCCTTAGCTAGATATGGGACCTTGGCAAGTGACCAAATCCTCTCTGAGCCAAAGTGAGAACACAGTTATATGATCCCACTGTAATACCTGGCACAGCACACACTAAATAGAATATTAGCTACCATCCTCTTGATGTCTCTACAAAAGCCATCGTCTTTCTGAAAAGCTGGGGAAAATGGAAAGGCAACAAGGCAATTACTAGGCATCCTTTACCTCACCCACCGCGACCCCACACCCCTAGGTCTCCTCTCAAAGGAATTCCTGCCCCTCCCGTGGCCCATCTTGGTCGGGGAAGAGGGTGGTCATCCCCAGGTTAGCCAGCTGGCTCTGACCTATGTGGCCTGCCTGGCTGGAAGGCCTGGGCAATGAAACGTTGTTCTCATTGTTTAGAGTGGGGCTGCAATTGACCACAGGAAGCAATCTGAACAGACTCAACCACAAGCAGCAGAAAGGCAGAAAAGTGGCCGCCTCAACGGCCCCAGCCCCGGCATTTGTTTTGAGATGGAGTCTCTCTCTGTATCCCAGGCTGAAGTGCAGTGGTGCAATCTCGGCTCACTGCAACCTCCACTTCCCAGTTTCAAGTGATTCTCCCACCTCAGCCTCTTGAGTAGCTGGGGCTACAGGCATGTGCCACCACACTCAGCTAATTTTTTTTGTTTTGTTTTTGAGATGGAGTCTTGCTCCGTCACCCATGCTGGAGTGCAGTAGAGAGATCTCGGCTCACTGCAACCTCCTCCTCCTGGGTTCAAGCAATCCTCCTACCTCAGCCTCCCCAGTAGCTGGGATTACAGGCACCCACCACCATGCCCAGCTAATTTTTGGATTTTTCACCATGTTGGCCAGGCTTGTCTCAAACTCCTGACCTCAAATGATCTGCCCACCTCGGCCTCCCAAAGTGCTGGGATTACAAGCATAAGCCACCATGCCCAGTGGGGTATTCTATTTCAATAAAGCTCCCTTTTTTCCTCGGGATTCACACCAGAACAGAGATGAAGATGAGTGAGAAAAGAAGGGAGCAACTCCATGAGCAGGGCGGCAGGAAGGCCGAGCTCTAAAAGCTGCCGTGATTCCCTGGTGGTTTCTCAGCAGGCCAAAGCCAGACACATGAGGAAGGCCTTGTGGACTTCATTCTGTGCCTCTCCTTGGACGGAAGCGTGTGCTTTAGTGCGGAACTCTTGACTTTTCAGTTGACTGGTGAACAAGCCCTTATGTGCACCTCACTGTGTCTGTCTAGGACATGGGGGCTCCCTGGCTAAGAATGCCCCCTTCATCAGTCCCATTTGCAGTTTGTCTTAACTGTAGTGATATAGCCAGAGCAAGAAAAGAATGCAATTTAGGACAAATGATTGGATGAATGATTGGCAGATGTTCTGGGCTGTGACATGGTTTTGCAGGTCACTGTTCCACCTGGGCACAGCATATGCGCTTTTCTCTTCCCCATAATTCTGTAGGGGCTGTGACTTCTGAAGCATGAGTGGCAAAGGCAAACAGCTTCAGGTGCCCCTCTGGAGCTACCCTACCTCATCTCCCCAGGGAGCAATCACAGCCCAAAGTGGGGTCTTTGATTGTGTGATCTTTTCCCTTCATGTTCAGCAAAAACCCTAAAAGTGGTAGAATAAAGACCGGATGGGCAAGTGCAGAGCAATTCTGCTTCGTTGGGTTTCGGAGAAACCCACAGGCAGATTCTGAACCTGGTGGTTCATTCCACATGTGGGAACTGTGGCTTTGAAGACCTCTGCACATGAGAACATATTTCCAAGAGAGAGAATTCTAAGGGGACAGGTCACCATTAAATGGCATACAAGCATAATTCTGTTCAAAAATTAACACCTGTTTAGAGGTGTGCCACAGTTAAAAACCAACCTGAACTTTGCAGTTAGATTTTAAAAGATGATCACTTAGAACCTAAGTAGCTTAGGATCTTCCATTGAGTCAAACATACAGTTAGAAATCAACGTCTTTGAAATTAGGATGTGTGGTTTTTTTTTTTTTTTTGAGACGGAGTTTTGCTCGTTACCCAGGCTGCAGTGCAATGGCGCAATCTCAGCTCACCGCAACCTCCGCCTCCTGGGTTCAAGCAATTCTCCTGCCTCAGCCTCCTGAGTAGCTGGGACTACAGGCACACACCACTACGCCCAGCTAATTTTTTGTATTTTTAGTAGAGATGGGGTTTCACCATGTTGACCAGGATGGTCTCGATCTCTTGACCTCATGATCCACCCGCCTCGGCCTCCCAAAGTGCTGGGATCACGGGCGTGAAGGATGTGTCTTTGAATCAGTTGACTTCAGAGTTGAACTGGCAGCAGTTATTTCTTGAGATTACATAACATGATGGTGCATTCTATAATTGGCAGCATCTTAGATCTGATGAAGTATGACACTTGTTTGATGGAATGGTTGAGGGCAGAATTTTGTTAAAAAGCTGTATCTTCACTATATTTTAACACATTATCTAATTTAAGAAATTGTTAAAATCCCCAACCTGGCGGAGGACCCAGTACAGAGTAGGTACTCAATAGATGTTACACCAACTTTGGAAGGGCAAATTTATTTCTTAGTGAGAGGCAGTCCTTCATGCTTTTGCAATAAAAATGACTTTTAGAAAGAATTATCTGTATATATGTATTTTTTTCCCATTTTCTAAAAATCCTGCCCTTCTGGATTCTCTAGGAAAAAAAAAAATTCCCCATCAGGGTGTCCTGAAGGTTATTTAGAGGAGAGTGGGTGATAAGCCTCTTAGAAAAGCGATTCTAGAGTAGAGGAGAGAAGCTCTATCTGGATATTTATCTGGTAGGCCTAGGTTCTTGTCTTTGCTCTAACTTTTATTCACTGAGTGACCCTGCTAAGCCACACTTTCTCCAGATTTGGATATGAAGGAGCCTGAACCAGTTGTGTGTGACTTCTACACATTGCTTTGGAGGCAGTAAGATAGCCACGTCTGTATAGCCCTCATCTGGGTGGAGGGCAGGACTTCCCACAGAAGAAAAACCCAGTAACTGATAGCATCGGGGGGGAGCCTAGGTTCTGTCGAAGCTAGATACAGCAGCCGCACACTGTAAACCTGCTCAAAGTGTATCTGCCTGTGTGGTTTGGACTCAGACTTTCACACTTTAGCTAGTTAAAAGGCACCTGTGACTTACAAAGCTCCAACATTGAAAATCATGACTGGTTAGTTCATTCAGCAGATTTTTATTGAGGGTGTACTGTCTGCTGAGTGCTATTCACTCCAGAAACAGCCACTAATCCCAAGCCCTAGTCCCTGCCCTCACAGAGCTCCCCATCTAGGGAGGGGGAGTCCCGAGGCTCCCCTGGATGTGACCAAGGCTTACTCTCAACACTTAGCTTCTGCTCCATGATGTTCTTACCAAGCAGACAGTCTTCGTTTCCTCTTTCATGTGGCTGCCGCATTCTGTCTTCTGGAGTTTGTGTAGGGGACACTTGTCAACATCTTTCACGAAGATTTTCCTCAGGATACTCATCGTCATGTGATTTCCTGTCTAGACCATGCAACAGAGAGCCCAGGGATTATTAACGAGAAGGCAGTCTGCTAAGTCAACACAATTCCCAGTCACATAGCCAAATGAGAGTGAAATTTTTTTTTTTTTTTTTTTTTTTTTTTTTTTTTTTTTTGAGATGGAATCTTGTCCTGTCACCCAGGCTGGAGTGCAGTGGTGTGATCTTGGCTCACTGCAACCTCTGCTTTCCAGCTTCAAGCAATTCTCCTGCCTCAGCCTCCCAAGTAGTGGAGATAATGGTGCACACCACAATGCCCAGCTAATTTTTGTATTTTTAAGAGACAATGTTTCACCACAGTGGCCAGGCTGGTCTCGAACTCCTGACCTCAAGTGATCCACCTGCCTTGGCCTTTCACACCTGGGATTTCAGGCATGAGCCACTGTGCCCGGCCTGAAATGTTCTTATATATCCCTTTTCTTCATAGAAATAAGAACCTGTGACTGAGTTTTTACTGAAAACTACCTCCACTTTGAACTTGAATGTATAAACAAGCAGAGAATACTCTTCCTCCTCTTCTAGAGAGTATCCATTAAAGGTGGCTTAGACAAGAGGACAGTCAGCTGTAGTTCAGGGACTAATCCGCTCGCCCCTCCACAGCCTTGTACTCATTCCAGGCTGTCCATTGCCTCTGGACTTCCAATTTTGGTGTAGGGCTAACAGTTAAAGGACCAATGTGATATAAGAATGGCCACTGGCTGGGCACAGTGGCTCATGCCTGTAATCCCTACACTTTGGAAGGCCGAGGTGGGAGGCTTGCTTTAGCCCAGGAGTTAGAGACCAACGTGGGCAACATAGCGAGACCCCGTCTCCACAAAAAATAAATTTAAAACAATTAACCAGGCATGGCGATGTGCCTGTAGTCCCAGCTGCTCAGGAGGCTGAGGCAGGAGGATCACTTGAGCCCAGGAGCTCAAGGCTACAGTGAGCCATGATGGCACCACTGCAATGATAAAGACCCTGTCTCAAAAGAAAAAAAAAAGGAGTGGCCACAGAAAGGGCAAGCTCTCAGAGTCTTGACTGATTAGGTGAGGGTTTCAGCCAAACTCTAGAACCTCAAGCAAGCTCCTTTACTTATCTATTTATTGACAGAGTCTTGCTCTTGTCACCCAGGCTGGAGTACAATGGCTTGATCTCTGCTCACTACAACCTCCACCTCCTGGGTTCAAGTGATTCTCCTGCCTCAGCCTCCCAAGTAGCTGGTATTATAGATACCCGCCACCATACCCAGCTAATTTTTTTTGTATTTTCAGTAGAGATGGGGTTTCACCAGGTTGTTCAGGCTGGTCTTGAACTCTTGACTTTAGGGGTTCCACCCACCTTGGCCTCCCAAAGAGCTGGGATTACAGCCGTGAGCCACCGTGCTTGGCCGCAAGCTCCATTATTAAATAAGGATAGGCCCTAGATTGGATTATCCAGGTCACCCCCACTGCCAGCACACACGCAGCCTCCTCTGGGAGGAGGAATGCCTTAACTGCAGATGTGGGATTCCATCCTGATACCCAGCAGTTCTGCAAGACTGGTGGTGTATGCAGCTTTTTGCCAAGGAAGCAGATGGACCGGACCAGGTTGCTGAAATGCATCGCTGTGTCTGTCTTCAGGAGGGCTATGTTGTTGCTCATGGAGTTGTTATCAAAGTCCTCATGGATGATGATGGTATTAACTGGATACTCTGTGTGACCAATCTTCCTGGGATCCATGTTACTTATACCCACCATAACAACAATGTCCTTCCTAGAGAGAGCAAGGGAATCTTGAGAAGCCAAAACACCAAGGAAGCTTCACACTTCCATGTTTTCCTATTTATATTTGTTTTTAGCCTGGAACACTCATCCAGTTCATATTCCCTGTTAATTCTTCCTCACCCCTTTGGACTTAAGTTTCTAGGAAATCTCTTATGAGCCCCTAGGCTTGCGCCCTCTTTTTTGAGCCTGCAGAACCCTGGAGATTCTTCAATCTTAACACCATTTGCCCCCCGACCAAAGATAATCTGTTAACATGTTATTGCTGATGAACTGCTTTTCTATGAATAGGTTTTTGTTTGTTTGTTTGTTTGTTTTTACATATTGTAGTTTGCAAAAGTAGTAGTTGCTGTTCTACGAAAGATGTCATCTTGACTCCTGCTTTTAGTACTTGACATTTTAAAACAAGCATCTTTCCTTATATATTCTGTAAATATATTTTGGAGAAATTGAAGTTCTAATAACAATAGAATTGAATTGGGTGTTTTCCCTTTCCCCTCTTGGGAATCACTCAAGAAACAATGAGAATGAGGAGCAAATATAAGCACCATAAAACCAAGAGACACTGGAGAATCTCAATCTCAGAGTCAAAGGAAGGGCTGATGAAAGGAAGGATGGCAGGTGTGCAAGAGTTATAAATGACATTGACTGCCACAGAGCTCAGAAAAAGCTGGTCAAGCATGTTCTCAGCAAAAAAATGAAAAGAAAAGAATCAAGACCATCACCATAATGAAGGCCACATCAAAAGCAGCATAAAGAAAAATAGGGCCCACAGAAAACACAATTGGGTCATTGAGAAATGTGACCAAAATGAAATGAAAATTAACAAAGATTTTTAAAGGCTTGAGAGGAAAATGACAGATAAGGTAGTCACAGCAGAACCAGCCACCACGAAGATAGCAACCAAAATGATGAAACAGGAAAAATATTTCAAGATATAATATAAGAAGACTTTTCAGAACTAAGACTTGAATCTATAGTTTGGAGAAAGTTAACCTATCTCCAATAGTGTTGAGTGTCCACTATCATTATAGTTTGAAGTAGTTAACACTGAGACATAGTCCGATCAGGTCCCATTGGGAAATAAATGTTCTACTCAAATAAGGTAAATTGAGGTGAGTTTAATAAAGGGACTCTTTACAAAGAGGTCTAGGCAGAATGCACAAGGACAGCACTGGGCACTACATGCTATAGACAGTTCCTGCTGAGGTTACAACACTGTTTTGACACTGCCTCTGGGCTCTATGTGAGGGGAGGATGTGATCAGACAGAGCTGTGTAGAGTGGGTCACTGAGCTGGTAAAGCAATCAACAGCCAATATGCAGTAGCACTCAGAGGAATAAGGACCCTGACTTTACTCTCCACATTCCCTCTGATCTCTTGCCTCTTATGTGCATGTTGGCCAAAACCAACTAGAGTCCAGAAGGCAAGAGACACCACTGGTATAATCCATACAGGTGAGCTTCCTGGGGCCTGGCAGGGTAGAAGAGTAGAGTGAATCTTAAGGGGCAGGTGGGGGAGATCCAGCGCAACTAATAAAGTTGCTGGACTTGAGTGACAAAGAAGGAATCCTTGGACATCTAGACCAACAAAGATGAAGCCACCTTAATTAAGTTTGGGTCTGATCAAAGTACTGGGATTATAGGTGTGAGTTACTGCGCCTAACTGTTAGGCGATTTTAATTCACCTCTGACAGTCTAGGACAGACCAAGTAGACTTCCTCGTCCAATTTTATATATTAAATTATACACCAAGCACGGAGAATGAACTTTTTAATTTACCTGTGAAAAAATATTCACGTAGACCACCCATAGTAGTAGACAGGACAATCTCAACAAATCCAAATAGATCACCACATTGTATGATTCAATAATGTTAGAAAACAAACAAAAAACCCTAACACCTGGACATTTGAAAACTCTGTCTTGGCCAGGCGTGGTGGCTCACATCTATAATCCCAGCAATTTAGGAGGTCGAGGCAGGCAGATCATGACATCAGAAGTTCAAGACCAGCCTGGCCAATACGGCAAAACCCTGTCTCTACTAAAAATAAAGAAATTAGCTGGGCATGGTGACATGCACCTGTAGTCCCAGCTATTTGGGAGGCTGAGTCAAGAGGATTGCTTCAATCTGGGAGACAGAAGTTGCAGTGAGCCGAGATCACACTGCTACACTGCAGTCTGGGTAACAGAGCAAGACTAAAAGAAAATAAAATTAAATAACATTTAAAAATAAAGCTCTGTCTTTAATAAAAGCCTTGAGTCAAAGAGAAAATTAAAAAAAAAAGGAGAAGACTAGATAGAAAATAGCCATAAGGAAAACACTACATAGAAAACAATTTCTATGAAGGGCTAGTTGGCAGTAGCATCAGGATTTTAAATGCATGTCTTTTTTTAGCCCCATCTTTCTGCTCCTGGGTTGTCTACACTACGGTACACTTGCATGTGTGTGAAATAATGTGTGTACAGGTATGTCTGTTGCAGTATTTTTGGCAGTAGTAAAAGACTGGAAACAGCCCAAAGTTCCATTAATAAAGGAGCGTATAGTTACGATAATTCCATGACAGGCTGCCATGCAGCTGATGAAAAGAATGCATTCGCTCTTTATGTACCAATAAGAAAAGGTCTCCAAAATTTATGATAAAGTGAAAAAAATCTGTGAATGAACTAATGTGTATGGTGTGCTATCAGTTGCATTGTGGGTGTGTCGGGGGTGTGTTATGAACTCAATTGCATCCTCTTGAAAATTTGTAGGTTGAAGTCCTAACCCTCAATTTGACCATATATTTGGAGATAGGGCCTTTAAGGGGGTAATTAAGATTAAATGAAGTATAAGGCTGGGGCTGTAATCCAACAGGACTGGTGTCCCTATAAGAAGAGGAAGAGAGACACCAAGAGTGCACAGGCACAAAGGGAAGGCCACGTAAGGACACAGTGAGAAAGTGGCTGTCTGCAAGCCAAGAAGAGAGGCCTCAGGAGAAACCAAATCTACTGACACCTAGATCTCAGATGTCCAGCTTCCAGAACTGTGAGAAATGCATTTCTGTTGTTTAAGCCACCCAGTCTGTGATATTTTGTTATGGAAGCCTAAGTAGACTAATACAAGGGGAAAGAAAATTCTCTGTCAATAGATATAAGAATCAATATAGCCAGACCTATAGTACATAGATATCCATTGAGTATTTAAGAAGAAATAGCCAAGAAATCGGTGACAGAATGTGGCTCAAGGGAAGAAAACTAGTGACTGAGGGGTGGGGGAGGGAAGGAGCCACTTTTCATTGTACATCCTTTGGTTTCTCATGAATATTTTACTACACACATGTATTTCTTTTTTTTGAGACAGAATCTTAACTCTGTCACCCAGGCTGGAATGCAGTGATACAATCTCTGCTCACTGCAACCTCCACCTCCCAGGTTCAAGCAGTTCTCCTGTCTCAGCCTTCCAGTTAGCTAGGATTACAGGTGTGTGCCACCATGCCTGGCTCATTTTTGTATTTTTAGTAGAGATGGGGTTTCGCCATGTTGACCAGGCTGGTCTCAAACTGTTGACCTCAAGTGATCCTCCTGCCTTGGCCTCCCAAAGTGCTGGGATTACAGGTGTGAGCTACTGCACAGCCATACATGTATTTTTGAATTTTTTTTATTCTTTTTTATCTCTTATTTATTTATTTACTTGTTTACCTGTACATGTCAAGGAACGTACATGTATTAAAAATACAAATCCTATGTTAAACTATTCACCAGCTGCATAATATTCCATGAAGGATTTATATTATAATTTATTTAGCCAATTCGTTATTATACTCTCTCCCCCAATACTCTGTGCCTATATGTAATTATATATTACGTACTATATATTACATATAATATTGTATGCATATATATTACATATACATATATTACAATATACATGTATATTACATTTTAATAGAGCATATAATTACATATTTAATACACTATATATTATGTATAAAATATATTTATATGTATAGTGCATATGCAAATTATAATTTCATTGCAATAGTTGGACAGTAGGTTTCTTTTCAGTGTTTTCTGTGTAAATAACCATCCTGGGAACAACTTTGTACATAAAAATTTTCCAGTGGTTGAAATTATTTCCTTAATGTTGATTCCCAAAAATGAAGCCATTGGGTTAAAAAGTGAGAAATATTTACCAAAAACATTATTTTAATAACATTTATGATTCTCTGGTTTAAAAGAATGAAGATTTGTTGTACAGAATTTGCAGAATACAGAGAAGCTAAAAGAAGAAAACAGAAATTGTGAGTTCTGAGCATTGAGAGATAAGCACTCTTAAAAGCACTTCTGTATTTTCTTCGAGGCTTTTCTCTGTGTACATGTATTTATGGCAGTAACGTTTGCACAAGAGTTTTAGGGTAAGGGCTCCTATGGACTGGCTGAACAGGATGAGCGGTGGGGACTCTGGTGTGAAGAGCCAGTGCCTCTGTGATGGCAGTAAAATCAGAGTGAGTATCCCACCTGCATTGAATGGAGGACTCATCATTTCATGTTTCATTGCAAGGCCAGCAGTCCTCACAGCAGAGATCAGCCTTGGCAACTGGTGATTTTAGGGCTCACAGCAGAGCAAGCACTGAACTGGTAAAAAGCCCTGTCCCCCAGAAGCCACCTTTCAGGGCCTCCCCAGGCTGAGCAGGAAACAGAGCCATCCCCACCCTCACCCCCGGTGATGCCGCGGACCCCAAAAGCAGGGGCACTGGCCTGTTCTGAACAGCAGATGCGATGCTGAGGACCCAGAACTCGCTGAGGATGCAGCCGAAAGCCAGATGTGTGTACTGGGAGTCCTGCAGCGACACCACCCATGGGAACTCCATGCTGTTGACCAAGGCCTCCTCAGGGTCAGGACCATAGAAAACGGAGGCTTTCTGGACGCCACAACCTGCGAAGTGGGTGCAGGGCCTCACTGCTGGGGCAAGGAGACCTCAGGACCCTCTGTCCTGCCAGCAGGCTGTCTTGATCATCACTAACACTACCTGAAGCCCCCATTTCTTTCTTTTTCCCAGTGTGTCTTCTTCACTGTAAAAGATGCTTGGTGGCATCTTTGAATCCCCTCCCTGGACCGTAAGGACCACTTCATTTTCCTGGATAATCCCCTTCTGTGCCACACGTGCAGCTAAAGTCAGAGGGAGGAAAGCAGCACACTCACTGGTAGAAGAGTGGAGAAGGCCAAGCAGCACCAGCAGCATCCCTCGCATCTCTGCCATCCCGAGACCCACAGCGGGCACTGTGGGCAGCTGGGGAAACAAAACGCACTGACTCCATTTTCTTCCAAACACATGCGGGCTTTTCCGAGACTCTTTTCTATCCTCTTCCCACACACATGCGTTCCCTCCCCAACATCAGAGGGTCTCCCTCTTTCTACCAACAAAGGTTCCAGGATGTAGGGCTCTGACCTATCACATCCCTAGTGCTTGGTTCTGTGCAGTCAAGAGGCGGGACCAGTTGGCCCGCACCGCGCTTTGTAAGATGGCCTGAGGAGAAAAGGCAGCTTACTCTTGTCAGTTTCCTTCTCAATCCAGCCCAAGACCCTGTGCGCCCCAGAGAGTTGGGTCTCTGAAAAGGGCTGCTTTTTGACTCGTGGAATTCAACCCTTGCCTTAACTCTGTAGCCATAAAGTGCTGCTGAAAGAAAAGTAGAATTTTAGTGGGAGCCCACCCTGGGGTTAACACTTCTGCTGTGGTTTTACCATTCCTACTAAACCCTGCTGACTAAAAGAACACCAGGGCTTCTGATCACTGTTAACAGCCTGTTTTTGTTGTTATTTGTTTATTTATTTATTTATTTGAGACAGAGTCTCGCTCTGTTGCCCAGGCTGGAGTGCAGTGGCGTGATCTCGGCTCACTGCAACCTCTGACTCCTGGATTCAAGTGATTCTCCTGCCTCAGCCTCCTGAGTAGCTGGGATTACAGGCATGTGGCAACATGCCCGGCTAATTTTTGTATTTTTAGTAGAGAGAGGGTTTCACCATGTTGGCCAGGCTGGTCTCGAACTCCTGACCTCAGGTGATCTGCCCACCTCGGCCTCCCAATGTGCTGGGATTACAGGTGTGAGCCACCACGCCCAGCCAACAGCCTGTGTCTTTACATAGGAACAGGCCCAGCGTTAAGCTCAGTTCATTGGCACAACTGCAGTAGGAAGTAGACACTCTCATTATTGCCATTTTACAGATTCAGAAACTGATACTCAGAGACATGGAGTAGCTGGCCCAAGGTCACACAGCTGTCAAGCAATGCACAGAAGCCCAAGGAACCCATGTGCACGGTTCTAAGTCACCATGTTCTACTCATGACACTGGATGCTTTTCGTCCTCAGAATGATCCTCAGAGTTCTTCCATGAACTGATACTGCTCAAGGAGAAATGAGCTCACGCTGGCCTTACACAGTAGAGTTCAACAGAGGGATTTCTTCTACCACCTTGGGAAGAATATTCCATTGTGGCATCATGGTTACTATGGCAACGCCAAGCCTATGTCTGGACATAGGGACTTAGGAGGAGCTAGGATGAAAGGCCTCCTTGTTGCCTAACCTCGGAAGGGCTCTCCTGGAAGCCAGGCTCTTTCCTAGTCTGTCTGAGAAGATCCTTTTTGCTAGATCACAAAGTCCTCTCTGGTCATAGCCACGGTCTGTCTACCCCACTCAGTGCCCACCCTGTGTCCACACACGCTTGTCAGACTGGACTGAGGAAGCCCACAGCTGTGGCGGGTTTGGAATTTCCAGCCCCCATCAGCATCTTACACTCCCAGTGTGGTTTCTTTCAAACAGCCGAGTTTTCTTTAGCCTCTCAGTTTCCGGGTCCAGTCGAAGCTACCAGACCGGCTCTGCCAAACCAGAGGCCCAGATGGGATCTGCCACCCCAGCCACTGCGACTGGCTTTGGTTTCAGCCCAAATGCCAGGACTAGAGAAGTGACGACAAGGTTGAGGTAAGATGTAAGTCCACGGAGCCGCAGTGGAAGGGTGGACGCTCAGGCCGCTGGTGCAGATGCTCAGCAGATCCTTACTGGATGGGTAGATGAACGACTGATGGATGGCAGGGAGGCTGGTGAGAAAGTGAAGGCTGGCCGGGCGCAGTGGCTCATGCTTACCATCTCAGCACTTTGGGAGGCCGAGGTGTGTGAATTGCTTGAGCTCTGGAGTTTGAGGTCAGCCTGGGCAACATGGTGAGACCCTGTCTTTACCAGAAACACAAAAATGTAACCAGGTGTGGTGGTACACGCCTATAGTCCCAGGTACTCAGGAAGGTGAGGTGGAGGTTGCAGTGAGCTGAGATTGCACCACTGCACTCCAGCCTGGGTGACAGAGTGAGACCCCCATCTCAAAAAATAAAAAAAGAGGTCCAAGGGGAGTACCTACCTCATTCCCCCGTGGTTCCCCTGATGTCCTGCCAGCTTCACCACCCTCCCTTACCTTTAACCCTGTGCAGGGTCACGGGTTGGGAGGGACGGGTTGGCTTCTGCTACAAGAACAGAAAATTTTTGGCAGTGGGAGAAGTGGAAGTTGATTCTTCAGTTTGTTCCACATCACACTTCTCAAAGAGCTGTATTTTTAATTTTTATTTTTTATTGTTTTTAGAGACAGGATCTTGCTCCATTGCCCAGGCTGGAGTGCAGTGGTGCAATCATAGCTCACTGCAGCCTCAAACTCCTGGGCTCAAGTGATCCTCCAGCCTTGGCCTCCCAAGTAGCTGGAACTACAGGCTTGTACCACTAGGTCTGGCTAATTTTTCATACTATGTTTTTTTGAAGAGACAGGGTCTTGCTGTGTTGCCCAGGCTGGTCTCGAACTCTTGGTCTCAAGTGATCCTCCCACCTAAACCTCCCAAAGCATTAGCAATTATATAGTTATGTGCCACTACACCCGGCCCTCAAAGAGCTTTTATTACCATACATTTCCTCACTCGCAATCCCCAGTCATCCTGGTAGGATGAAGCGTTTCCTGAACTTTCCAGGTGAGAACATGGTGGCTCAGAATGTGTTTGTCATTCCTTTGTTCTTTGCTTAGTACCTGTATCCATATGGATGTATGCCTAAGCTCTATATTAAGTATGTGTGCAGTTTCTCTAGGAGTAGGATTGCTAGGTCACAGGACATGTTAAGATATGCCTAACGTTATAAAAGAATGCTGAGTAGTTTTCTAATGTGATTGCTCAGATTTGCACTCCTACCAGCAATGTATGTGGACTTCCATTTATTCACCCTCTCTCCAACTTGTTATGTCAGCCTTATTTTTTGGCCAACCAATTGGGTACAAAATGATATCGTGTTGCTAATTTGCCTTTCCCTGGTTTCTAATAAGGTTTAGGATATGTCCCCATGTTTATTGGGTGTACAAGTTGATCTTTGTGTCTTTTATTCTTTTTTCTCTGTTGGGTTGCTTGCCTTTTACTTATTGATATGTAGAAATTCTTAATGCAGTTTGCACGTTGTTTTTTCTTCTTGTCAGTGTGGAGCTGCTCATGCAGTCTGCATGTTATTCATAATATGCATTGTGATTATCTTTCGAATAGCTCACAATTTGTGGCCTGTACTTTTTCTTTCCCTCCCTTCCCTCCTTCCTTCCCTCCTTCCCTCCCTCCTTCCTTCCCCCCTTCCTTCCTTCCCTCCTTCCTTTCTTCCCCCTTTCCTTTCTTCCTTTCCTCCTTCCTTCCCTCCTTTCCTCCTTCCTTCCCTCTTTCCCTCCCTCCTTCCCTCCCTATTTTCCTCCTTCCCTCCCTCCTTCCTTCCCTTCCCTTCTCATTCTCTCCCTCCCTTCATCCCTCTCTCTCTCTCTCTTTTTTCTTTCTTTCCTTCTTCCTTTTTTTGACAGGGTCTCACTCTGTTGCTGTCTGGAGTACAGGTGGTGCCATCAAGACTCACTGCAGCCTCAACTACCTAGGCTAAAACCATCCTCCCACTTCAGCCTCCTGAGAAGCTGGGACTGCAGGTGCATGCCACCACACTTGGATAATTTTTTATTTTTTGGAGAGGCAGGATATCATTTTGTTACCCAAGCTGGTCTCCTGGACTCAAGCAATCTCCTGCCTCAGCCTCCCAAAGTACAGGCATGAGCCATCACACCCAGGCCTGATCTCTTTACGGTGCTTTTGAATAAGCAGAGTCTTAATTTTCATGAACTCACATGTATTCATCTTATTCAGTTAGGGCTCTTTGTGTCTTAAGTAATTCTTTCCGCAGCCATAAAAAACAACGAGTTTGTATCCTTTGTAGGGACATGGATGAATCTGAAAACCATTATTCTCAGCAAACTGACACAAGAACAAAAAATCAAATACCACATGTTCTCATTCATAGGCGAGTGTTGAACAATGAGAACACATGGACACAGGGAGGGGAGCATCACACATTAGGGTCTGTTCCGGGGGACTAGGAGAGGGACAGTGGGGGTTAGGGAGGTTGGGGAAGGAGAAATGCCGGATATAGGTGACGGGGGATGGAGGCAGCAAACCACATTGCCATGTATGTACCTGTGCAACAATCCTGCATGATCTGCACATGTACCCCAGAACCTAAAGTACAATTAAAAATATATATATAGGCCGGACGCGGTGGCTCATGCCTGTAATCCCAGAACTTTGGGAGGCCGAGGTGGGAATATCACGAGGTCAAGAGATCAAGACCATTCTGGCCAACATAGTGAAACTCCGTCTCTACTAAAATATAAAAATTAGCTGGGTGTGGTGGCACGCATCTGTAGTCCCAGCTACTCAGGAGGCTGAGGCAGAAGAATTGCTTGAACCTGGGAGGTGGAGGTTGCAGTGAACCGAGATCGCGCCACTGCACTCCACCTGGTATCTGGCGACAGAGCAAAACTCTGTCTCAAAAAAAAAATTATATATATATAAAGAAATCTTCCAAGTGTGTAAGTGAATAAATGTCAGCGCTTGCATTCAAAGTCAGGTGGGTCGCACTTTCAGTCATGGCTTTTGCCTACAGGACTGTGCTGCCTTCAGATCACTTACATTTTATAATGGTGACTGTAAATGAAAACATGATAGTAATTTTTTATTTCTCCAATATTTATTTGGTAAGTAAAATGTGATGAGCACAAAAAAAAAAAAGAAAGAAATTCTTCCCTAGCTCAGCATCAGAGGTCTATTCTACTGTATCTTCTCCTCAAACCTTGAAGTCTTGTTTTTCACATGGAAGTCCTCAGTGTGTATGGAATCGTTTTTTGGTGGGTAGTGTGGACACCCAGTCGTGCCAGCATCATTTGTCTCGCGTCTCCAGTGTGATCCCAGCACTTGTCAAAGTATACATTTCTTTGTTGAACTCCTCTTTGTACTTAGTTTTCTAGTTTATTATTTTCTGCCCTTATCTTTTATTGTCTGTTTTCTTCTACCTTCTTTGAGTTTATGTTATTTTCCTAAAATTTTTAGCTGGCATTTAGTGTGTTAACTTTAGCCCCCATTTCTAATATAAGCGTTTAAGGGATTGTATGTTCCCTAAGTACCATTTCTCTTATGTCGTAACTTTTGATACATGGTGATTTCCTTATCATTCAGTTCTATTTTTCCATTTCCATTGTGATTCTTGTTTGACTCTTGAGCTACTTGCAAATGTGTTCTTAAACTTCCAAACATCTAACGGGTTTTATTTGCCTTTTTAAATATAGACTTCTAACCCAGTTGGTTGAGAATGTGATCTGTGTAATATAAATCTTCAAAATCTATGAGACATGCTTTGTGGCCAATATGTGATAAGAATTGTTATACCTGTACCATGTTTGCCTGGGGAAAATATATACTCTCTATATCTGCCAATTATCCTCAAGCTTGTTGACTGTGCTATTCATATTTTCTGAATTATTCCTGAATTTTTGTCTACTTGACCTATCAATCATTCAGAAAAGTGCCTCCTACTATGTGAATTTGCCATTTCTCCCTATAGTTATAGCAATTTTTGCTTTACGTGTTTTGAAGCTATTTTTGCCCAAATACGTAGGTTTAGAATTGTTAACTATTCCTGGTAAATTGAACTACTGTTGATTCTCATTATTCGCTGTAGCTATGTTTTATAAAGTCCTGACAAACACTGAGCTAATTAATTAACCTTTGTTCCTTGGAAAAATAACAAGATTAGGTTCCTGAAAGCCTTTGGTCACAACATTTTAATGAAATGGAGTACAGTGATACAATCTCAGCCCACTGCAACCTCAGCCTCCTGGGCTCAAGTGATCCTCCTGGATAATTTTATTTATTTATTTATTTATTTATTTATTTATTTATTATTTTTGTAGAGACAGGGTTTTGCCATGTTGTCCAGGCTGATCTTGAACTCTTAAGCTCAAGTGATCCACCTGCCTCAGGCTCCCACAGTGCTGGGATTACAGGCGTGAGCCACTGTGCTGGGCCTCTGTCTTTTTAATTGATATGTATACTTCTCTTATGTTTATTAGGATTATTGATTTATTTTTTTCTGCTCCTTTCCTTCCTCCCACCCCTCACCCTCAAAAAGGCCCCAGTATCTGTTGCCTCCTCTTGGTGTCCATGTGTTCTCATCACTTAGCTCCCGTTTATAAATGAGAACATGTAGTATTTGGTTTTCTGTTTCTGCATTGGTTTGCTAAGGATAATGGCCTCCAGCTCCATCCATGCTTGTTTCTGCAAAGGACATGGTATCATTCTTTTTTTGGTTGCATGGTATTCCATGGTATATATGTACCACATTTTTAAAATCCAGTCTATCATTGGTGGGCATTTAGGTTGATTCCATGTCTTTGCTACTATTGTGAATAGTGCTGGAATGAACATTCAAAATGCACATTCAACTTAATCACCTGTAACATTAATTACTATCTTAACTCTTCGATGATAATACTACAACCTTAAAATACTTTAAACTTCTGCTATGATTTACCTACTATTCTTGTTCCATATTTTAGTTCCATATATTATACTTTATTATTTTATTCAATTTTATTTTATTGAATAAAATTAATTATTAGATGTGAATATTTTTTCCATGAATAGTCTTTAGAAATTTTAGTATAAGTTTAGATTATTATTATTAAATTTGAATATTTTTTCCATGAATAGTCTTTAGAAATTTTAGTATAAGTTTCTTGATGACAAATGTTTTGTTTGTACTAAAGTAAAAATGTCTTTTTTGTATACCTTTCTTTGAAAAATAGTTTTATGGATATACAACTCTGGGTTAAGAGTTATTTTCTCTCGGTTCTCTGGAGATGTTTTTTCTCTGTCTTCTGAGTACCATTATTTGAGGTCTCCCTGAAATCCAATTGTTTTTCCATTATAGATGCTCTGTCCTTTTTCTCTGGCCTGTTAAGAATTTCTCTCACTATGGCTTTACTTTGATACTTTAAAGCATTAATTTATTTTTAATTTATTATTTTTAGGATATGTTATGCTATCTAGCTTTTTGTATTTATATTGTTTCGTAAGTTCTGAAACAATCTCAGTCATTATCTTTTCAAATACTGCCTCTTCTTCAGGCTTATTATTCTTTACTTTTGGGACTTCAAATAGTTATATGTTAGACTTTCTCATTCTATCCTTCATATGTCTCATCAAACTCTTCATATTTTATTTTTTTATCACTTGTGTTGCATTTTAGGAGATAACTGTAGACATGTCTTCCAGTTTATTAATTCTCTCTTCATCTATATTTGATTTTCGGTTCAACCATCCTCTGGAGGTTTTTAAAAATGCAGCAGATAAATTTTTTTTATTTCTAGAAGACCCGTTCTTAAGTCTCCCTGTTTGTTTCTGGTTGCATCTTGTCAGGCACTCATCTGTATCATTGCATCCATTATTTCTGCAACCATTAAATATATATATATATATCTGCTCTATATTTGGTATTTGACAGTTCCAACATCTGCTGTTTGAGGGAGAGTGGGATTCTAAATGGTTTTTGGTTCATCTACGCTCACACAATGTGGCTTGCCTTTCCTGTGTGCCTTCCTAATAATGGTGAGTTCATTTTGTGTTCCTAATCTAGAGCTCTAACTTGGATACATTTTCTTCCGGACAGAAGTTGCTTCTGCTGCTACTGATCACCAGAGGGTGCCACTCACTTGAGACTGTGGCTTGTCTAACTACCCTCTCCACTGATAAAGTGTTTTGTTTTGTTTGGTTTGGTTTGGTTTATTTGTTTTTTGGTTTTGGTGTTTTTTGTTTTTTTTGTTTTTTTTTAGATGGAGTTTCACTCTTGTTGCCCAGGCTAGAGTACAATGGCCCAATCTCAGCCCACTGCAACCTCCGCCTCCCAGGTTCAAGCGATTCTCCTGCCTTGGCCTCCTGAGTAGTTGGAATGGCAGGTGTGGGCCACCATGCCTGGCTAGCTTTTGCATTTTTAGTAAAGACAGGGTTTCACCATGTTGGCCAGGATGGTCTTAAACTCCTGACCTCAGGTGATCCACTGGCCTCAGTCTCCCAAAGTGCTAGGATTACAGATGTGATCCACCACACCCAGTCTATTTATTTATTTGTTTATTCGAGATGGAGTTTTGTTCTTGTTGCCCAGGCTGGAGTGCAATGGCATGATCTCAGCTCATCTGCCGCCCAGGTTCAGGCGATTCTCCTGCCTCAGCCTCCCAAGTAGCTGGGATTACAGACATGCACCACCATGATGAGGTAATTTTTTTGTATTCTTTTTTTTTTAGTAGAGACAGGGTTTCTCCATGTTGGTCAGGCTGGTCTCAAACTCCCAACCTCAGGTGATCTGCCCGCCTTGGCCTCCCAAAGTGCTGGGATTACAGGCATGAGCCACCATGTTCAGCCTGGTAAAGTGTTTTAACAGCTGCGCTGCTGCCCTAAGGCAACCCCTCCTCTCCCAGATGTCAGCAACTCATTTCTCTTGGAATCTCCTCCTAAAGTTAGTGGTAGCAGAGATAACTTAAAGGGTGTGTCTTCTGCACTGTTTTGCAGTGCGAGGTTGTCTCAGATCACCTAGTCTGCAGTGATGCTCAGAGCCAAAGGAGCTTCACAACACAGCACACACTCAGAGATGGACAAATGGATGCCCAGCCAAGCAAAACATCATTTCCAGGTAGTCATTGTACTTCTTGTTTTACTTTTGGATTTTTGGTTTCTATTGTTTGGCTTTATTCACTCAAGTTTTTGGCTCCTTGCTTGAATTCATCCTATTTTCAGATTCGTATGTCCCAGTGAAAGTGATTTACACTTGACTTTCAGCTACTCTTTTCCTGAGTTATGGTATTTACACTTTTGTTTTTCATCACTGTTTTTGCTCTTTCCTGAACCTCTTTTAGCCTTCCCCTCATTTTTGTGAATTGGGGCTATAATGCCATGCAGGCCTGATAGCCCCGCTGGCCTGGGGTGAACCTGCAACTAGCCCTGCCAGATTCCCTCATCCCTGGAATTTGAGTCTTGAGCCAGGGGACAGAAAGAGTATAACAGCTGGAGTTGCCAAGCTAGGCTAACAGCAGGTTATTTTGGCTCTGCTGCCACACTGGGAGCTCTTCCCTGTCCTGTACTCCCTGAGAGTTGGAGATTCTATGTTGTATCTCAAATTCCACCAGCATGCTTCTTTTCTGCATGTTAGTCAGAGACAGGTTCTCTTGCTTCTGACTGAAAAAAAAACCCGTTACTGATCCACAGGTCTTGTGCTTGGAGCATCTTTCATGCGTAAGCATTTTAATTCCAAGTCTGATCAATGACTAGTGCCAATAAGGTCTCTTCAACAGCAGTCACTGGAAAACAATTATTTGTTAGAGTAAACTTGAGTTTCATCATGGTTAATGTTTGTAGAGTTTTTATAAAAGCACATTGTAAAACATTTTGTATATACATAAGAGTAAATTTAATGTATATGCATTAACAGCATAAACACAAAACCAACAACATTCTGAGGTACCTGAAACCCAGTTTACAAATTAGATTAGAATGTCACCACGGAGTACATATGATGCCTCTTGTTTACCCTTCCCCAGTCATGTTCCTCTTCTCCAAGGAGAACACCACAGGTTTCTTTCATACATCATCATCTAGTAGGATTTACCACTGGAATGCAAGGATGGTTTATCAGCCATAAGTCTATAAATCTGACCGCATCAATAGAACGAAGCATAGAAATCGTAATCATTTTGATACATGGAGAAAAGCGTTTAACAAAATTCAATATTCTTTCATGATTTAAAAAAAAACTCTCAACAAATTAAGTATAGAAGAAATGTGGCTCAACATAATAAAAGTCATATTATGACATCATTTTATTATCAAGCCCCAGCTAATATTATACTCAACAGTGAAAATCTGAAAGCTTTTCCTCTAGGATCAGGAACAAGACACGGATGCCCACTTTTACCACTTCAATTAAATATATTAATAGTACTGGAGGTCCTAGCCAGAATAACTAGGCAAGAAAAAGAAATAAAAAGCGTCCAGATCAGAAAGGAAGAAGTAAAGTTGTCTCTGTTTGAAAATGGCATGACTTTATAGATATAGAAAATCCTAAAGATTCTACCAAACAAAAAAAAACTGTTAGGTTTGAGCCTCAGTAAGGGAGAAAAGAAAAACCTGTTAGGACTAATAGACAAATTCGGTAAAGTGGCAGGATACAAAATGAACGTACAAAAACCAGTAGCATTTCTCTCCACTAACAATAAACCGTCTAAAAGAGAAATCAAGAAAACAATCCTATTTATAACAGCATAAAAATTACTTAGGAATAAATTTAACCAAGGAGGTGAAAGATCTGTACACTAAAAACTATAAATCATTGCTGAAAAAATTGAAGAAGACACAACTAAATAGAAAAATACCCCATATTCATGGATTGAAAGAATTAATATTGTTTTCTTTTTTGCCTTATAGAGAATTAATATTGTTAAAAGGTTCATTTAATCTGCAGATTAAATGCAATCCCTATCAAAAGTCCAATGACATTTTTCTTTTTTTAAAATTTATAAACAAAAGAAGTTTAACTCACAGTTCTGCATGGCTGAGGATGCCTCAGGAAGCTTACAATCATGGTGGAGGGCCAAGGAGAAGCAAGGCATGTCTTACCTGGCAGCAGGAGAGAGCTCCAATGACATTTTTTACACAAATAGAAAAAAAATTCTAAAATTGATATGGAACCACAAATGACCCTGAATAGCCAAAGCAGTCTTAAACAAAAAGAACAAAGCTGGAGATATCACACTATCTGACTTCAAAATATACTATAAAGCTATAGTAATCAAAACAGTATAGTACCATAAAAATAGACATATAGACCAATGGGACAGAATGGAGTGCCCAGGAATAAATCTCTATATTTATGGCCAATTTATCTTCAACAAAGGTGGCAAGAGCATGCAATGGGAAAATAATAGTCTTTTCAATAAATGGTCTTGGGAAAATTGGATGTCCACATGCAGAAAAATAAAATTAAGCCCTTATCTCATATCACAAAAAGAAACTCAAAATGGATTAGAGACTTAAACTTAAGACCTGAGACTGCAAAACTATTAGACAAAAATATAGGGAAAAGCTTCTTGACATTGCTCTGGGTGATGATTTTTTGGATTTGACTC